TTCAAATATGTCTAGAATTAGGTAGTGGTCCACTTATGGTATTAAAGTTGGATGTGTAAATATATTAGATTCCAAATCTATAGTCTAAATGGTAGAGATTTACTGTGTTACCTGAATGTCTTAAGTTCGAAATCTGTGATACAGTTGTACATTCACTGATGAAAAGTTGTATAACAGGACGAAATAGTTGTGAATTACTTTCTGGATTTTATTGACCCTTCCCAGTTGATATTAATTTGTTGAAAAAAATTAACTCACAGTTCAACTACTCTTCCCTAAACAATCCAGTTAAATAATCTTGATTAAATACACTTTAGATGCAAATACGGATGGTGGATAGCAGTGGAATCCAGAAAGAGCGTCTCGTCCTATTTGAGACTCGTCAGCTAGGTGAATAACGCGATGGCATCTGAAATGAATGTTACTGGGTCCGAGTCTCGGAGTAAATATGAACTCAGGGATGCAAGTACATCCAGCTGACAAGTCCCAAATAGGGCGAAACGCCTGTCATGGATTCCACTACTAGACACCGTCCATCCAAGGTCATAATGCTTGTCACTTAAGACAATATCGAGGAAATCCGTATAGGATGCTCATATGTCAACAAGAGACTGATCGATTGCAGTTCTGAACATCAATGCGAAGATTCAAATAAACGACACAAAATGAATTGACACTTTATATGTTTAGAGGTATTCTTCAATGACTTAACAGAACAAAGACTGAAGACAGTAACTCTCAAAATTATTTTTGTTATTTTATTATGTATATTCCGATTATGTGTAATTACTAAATTAGTGGACCACTACGACTCCATATTCCATTCGATTGTAAGATTCCGTTTGAGCCATACACTGTTACTGTACATTTTATTATTCCTAGCTTATCGTTGTCTAATTATTTACAGCCTTCCCGATTCACAACCACTTTAGTATGTTTGTGTATGATTTTCCATTTCGCAGTGTTATCCAGTTCGTCATATCCATTTATAATTCAAAAAATAATAATAGAATCTAGATTTCTGCCTTCTCCCTCCAGACTCAAGTCATGAGACAAAAGAAAACGTGAGTATTAGTAAAACGATCGATGCTAAGCTTACGTTAGCTCAAAATTAACCCTGGAGTTCAACCAGGTCTGTTGTGAGACATCAACTCACTGAAGACAATGGTGTGCGGTGGCGCAACTTCGTGGATTAGTTGAAGTTAGACATTAACACCATTGGATGCCGGCCAGCTCAGTGGTCTAATGGTTAAGCGCTCGCGAGCGAGACTGATAGGTCCTGGGTTCAAATTTCGCGAGGTGGGATCGTGGATGAGCACTGTTGAGAAGTCTCATAGTAGGACGAAACGACCGTCCAGTGATTCCAGGTTTTCCATGGTGATCTAGCTTCAGTGGACTCATGTTTTCAACTATTGAAAGATCAGAACATATCATTGATTAAGGCTAGGAATATTGAGCTGTAATCCAAATAAAATAAGAATACATGGTAGGAAAATTATATTCCGAATTCTGGCAAACGAAATGCAAAAAGGATATCAATTAACTTTTCAGACATAGCAGACGAGAAACTCTGATTGACCAAGGTTTCGTACCATTTGGAAATCGTTGATAAGATGCACCTGTAATAATGGGAGAACTAGTACTCCATGGTGGACTCGATACCTCATCATTAAGTTTCACAGTCTGATACGTTACTATGCTACTATTCAGACAGCGACTAACTTGTTGTAGGACTAAGATATTTACGACTGATTGACCCTATGAAATAGGACCTAGAAAATCACAACCACAGTTATACATAGTAGTTTTAGGTGAACGATTTTCAAGCATATATATCTATAATGGAAGTCTCTAAAGAATGGAAATGATTTTTTGTCCTATAATAATTTGATATAACATATAATAGGATTGAGTTGTCTCAACAACGGATCATGTCTCTCTGACACATACAATAGTGTATTGTTCTATACAGCTTCTAAACAATGACGCAATATGATTAGTAGAGCATTGGTAGATCGTTCTCTGTAAAAGCAAAAGAAACAAAATAACCGATTTCTATGTTAATGTATTAATTAGGAAATAATTTATTTTCATTGTAACAATAAATTAAGGAGAATGAACTGAGGGTGATGGGGGAAGGATAGAAATAAATTAGAAACTATCTACTATCAGAATTGTTCCGTTTCATTTCGTTATATATAAATACACACACACACACATACATACATACATACAACATAACTTTTTCATAGTTTTATTTTTCTATGATTGGCATAGTTAATTTACAATAATATTGAGCTGAAAATTAAACAGTCTGTTAATTCCCTTAGGATTTTTATGAATTTCGTAATCACTACAACCAATCAACCATTTATCCACTCCCTCATTTCCCTTTCATTGATGTATATATATATATATATATAGAAGCTGAATAAATGAACACTGACTTAGATGATTGTATGAGAGTGATATTCGACATGTTATTATGCTCATATGTCATGGTGTTTAAGAATAATGCCTTAAGGGTTTGTAATTAGATGGTGTTAAATGAGTCGTGAATATATATTTATTTATTGATAATTGGTGTTGGTTTTGTTGAACTGTAGCAAAGTAATTTGATCTACACTTTGATGGTTTATTATTTCATTCAAAGAAAAAGAGAGAGAGAGAAAAAAAGAAGAAAGAAAGAGGATGTAGGTGGGAAGAAGGGAAATAAGCAGTCAACCAAAACACAATGCTACATACAAATGAGTATATATATATATATACATATAATTACATCATTAGGTAGGTGATTCTAAACACAACAGTGTAAAGCAAAGCTCAGACTTCACAGTTATGTATTGATTTTGATATGTTTGGAAGTTAAGAAGTAAACTTAAATACATTTACACTTGTGAAATAAAATGTCTTATCTTATTTAGAATATCTGAAATACTCGTATATATGTTTATTCATTTTATTGTCTTAAAATTTAAAGAATTTATGTAGTCTATATTACTACTTATTTGACTTCTATCATTGTAGGATCATATTGTGGTGTGTGCTACTGATATCGAGAAATATAAGTAGTATGTATCATTAATCAAAAGTGAAATACCTGGTGGCAGACGGTTAAGAAAATCGAAGGGAAGAGAACGTGAACAGAAAATGATTGGTGTAGAAATGTAGGAACAATCAAGTCTGAAACGATTGACTGACATTTTGCAGTAGGAATAGTCAAGTTTGATACAATTGATTGACATTTTGCAAATGAAGAATTCACTGTATAGTTCCCAGATTTTACTAAGAGATTCTGGGATTCTGTGCTAAGGCACATTTGATTGTCCCCATTTGTGTTCTCGTTCGCTACAATAGCTCCTCAAGGGTTAAGTTGTCAACCTGTAATGCTGAGATTTCATATTTCACGTCATGCACAGATCTTGACTAGACAACCGCTGAACATTTAAAAGAAATAGACATATACTTTGTCTCAGTATAAGGTTTTTTAACAGTGAACATTAACAACCCAAATGGGGCTCAAAACCAGGAATATCAGGTCTTGGTGAAGACATTTAATCTTTAAACCATCGGGCAAGTATCTAACAACAATCAGTTCTAGATATTATACAACCATCTTTGATTGCCATTGGCCAATAACTGCCTCATACACTTGAATACCGGTACACTGGTCTAAAGGTTGAATGATCTTCACGAGACCTGAAAATCCCAGTTTCAAGCCGCGTTGTGATCACTTTATTCCCACTGTTGAGGAGTTTCATACTGAAAAAAATCATGTCTATTATTTCCTGACTTTCAGCTGTTGTCTAATTCGGATTAGTTCATGATATGAACCATAAAAATCGACCACTTGAAAAAAATATTCTACTATTTTTCAATACAAGGAGCATTTACCCATTTTCACTAAGGGATTTGTAAAATTGTACAACTTAATACATAGATTGTGTATAAATCATTAATGTGTATTTTCCCATCCTTTTGTTTGTTATCAGTATGAGGTGGTGAAGATTGTTAAGTTTTTAATTGAGATCATGAATCGACTAATGTTAAACCATCATCGGAAACCTGGAAGCACTAGAAGACTGTTTCGTTTTAGTGTGAGACTTCTCAGCAGGGTGCAAGATCCACGATTCCGTTCGCGAGAGTTGATTAATAAGTAGTGTTTAATTTATAATTTCTTGTTTAAGTTACGGGATGCAAACCAAGAAATATCGAACCGATACTCTTTCATCACACTAAACAACTTTCTACTCCTTCTAAGCTTATCCTAAATTAGTTAGGTAGAAATGTACCGATGTACAGTATAATTATCTATAGAACACTGATTAAATAGATTTAATTTGTAATACTTTTGAATATCCCGTTGTTTATATTTGACTGAATTTTGGTCAGTCTTAGTTGGTATATGTACAACCTGTGTGGACTGCATCAGTATAGAGATTATATTACAAATTTATTTGAAATAGATTCAATTTGGCCAGTAAAAACTAGTTACATATTAGATGTATCGAAGCAATCCGTACAGGTTGCACAAATACCAATTTAGACGAACCAAAATGAAGTTAAACCATAAACCATGGGATAATATAAACCAGTAAAAAATTAAACTGGAATTAATATATTTTTGCACTAGCAAGTGGCTATTTGAACTCCATAGCTAAGTGAATAAGGGGTTGGCGTTTGAAGCGAAAGGGACTGGATTTGAACCTCAAAGTAAACATCAACTCTGAGATGTGTTACACACATCTGGTTGATCAGTCCCGAATAGGACGAAATTCGCATCCCTTTGGTTACACAGTTAACCATATTTCATCTATTCTACAGAATAAATAATCTTAACATTATGATGCAAAATCAACCCCTAATTAAATTCTATATCTTAAGTCATTTCCAACAAATTAGATTTCAGCCGTTAAGCGAAATTAAAAACATCATATCCATTCCTTTATCTAAAAAAGGGTTTCGAAACTAGAAATCATTTTTCTTGTTCTATTTTTCAGTTTACTCAACTATAAGTCCAGTGATTAAAGCACTTAGTCCAAATGAAGGATGGGTTACAGGTGGTGAAACGATTACTGTGATTGGTGAGAATTTTTTCCCCGGTCTACAAATTGTTTTTGGATCAACTGCTGTATGGGGTGAAGTAAGTGATGATATTTGTTTACTAAATTATTTAATCCATTGTGAAGCTGCTCTTGATACTACTTAAATGAACATGTAAGACATTGAATAGATTCTAAATACAATTTCAAGTTGTAAAGTAGCAATTGTCACTAAATTCAGTTAGAAAGTATACAATAATTCAATAGTTCCCATTATAATCGTTTTCTAGCAAATAAACTCAAGTTCTATATCGCAGAAATATACATTCATCTTATTACTAAACTTATGTTGATATAGTAAGAAAGAGTACAAATAATGTTTCTATACTCTTGTTCTCTATATCTCAAATCTATGGATGATATGTCGAATAATAATGTTCTCCAACCCCGTTATAACCATATAGTTATAAAAACAATTACTAATACACAAATGTTTAGCAAATTGTTCTCAGGTGTAAATTTTGTGTCTTAACAAGTAGCTAATACGAAGTTATTTAAAGATTATAATTTTATTAATAATTAAACTGATAGCGTGTGTTCGATCTTTGCGAGGGGGGGATCGTAAACTTCAAATATTGATGAATCCAACATTAAGTAGAAAAATATACCATTTAGTCCCTGGTTTTCGGTGTTACCTTAACGAAGATCAATCTGTGATGAGTACAGTGTACAGTGATAATTCATCAATTATTTTTAGGGTGTATATGCTTATTTGAATATTTGGTCAGCAGTAATGAGAATAATATAGTGGTTACTGTTTAGATATTTAAGTATAACCATTTTAGATAATAGATAATGAATCCAAATACTTCAGTTTGTTTACGTTAGTTGACAATTAAGTGAAATCGACAATATCCGATTGTAAGATCAATTACGAAACAATATTTACTTTCACTACTACTACTACTACTACTACTACTACTACTACTACTACTACTACTACTACTACTACTACTACTACTACTACTACTACTACTACTACTACTACTACTACTACTACTACTACTACTACTACTACTACTACTACTACTACTACTACTACTACTACTACTACTACTACTACTACTACTACTACTACTACTACTACTACTACTACTACTACTACTACTACTACTACTACTACTACTACTACTACTACTACTACTACTACTACTACTACTACTACTACTACTACTACTACTACTACTACTACTACTACTACTACTACTACTACTACTACTACTACTACTACTACTACTACTACTACTACTACTACTACTACTACTACTACTACTACTACTACTACTACTACTACTACTACTACTACTACTACTACTACTACTACTACTACTACTACTACTACTACTACTACTACTACTACTACTACTACTACTACTACTACTACTACTACTACTACTACTACTACTACTACTACTACTACTACTACTACTACTACTACTACTACTACTACTACTACTACTACTGATACTAATACAAATACTCTATATACTAATATACACTAATATATACACTCTACTGAACAAATAAAATTACAAATAAAAAACTTACGTTTTCAATTGTTAACAGGTGAGGAGTTCCAAAGTACTTCTTAGAAATGTCACTTGGGACCGAGGAAGATTTTTGTTCAATCAGGGTTGAATAAAAGTATTTTATGAACATCAAGAGCAGTGACGAATCATCTGCCACATGTTTGCGTGGATATTTATCCTCTTTTTATCATATTAAATTTGCTTCTATAACTTTCTAAAAAGCCAAGGCTTTGTTAAAATAGTATGAATGCGCATGACCTTTTAGTAAAGCTCTTTTGTTGCACTTGGCGGCTATTCTGTTGTGTTCAGGTTTCTGAGCAGATTTAATCTAGGCTTATTAGAAGTGACCAGAAAATTTGGATTGAGTGTTCAATTAGCAAAACGTATCATTAATTCACTAGAATATCCACTTTACATAGTTAAATAAACACTTGGATGATTTATTAAATTCTACTGTTATAAATTGGAGACAAAACCCTAATAAAACTTGATTTTTAAGCGTGTATGGATATTGGCTAGTAGTGGAATCTAGGACTTTCGTTTCTTCCTTTTTGAGACTCGTCAGCTAAATGTACCTACATCCCAAAGTTGATGTTCACTCCACGACTCAAACCCAGTACTATTCGCTTCAAACGCTATCACATTATCTATTTAGCTACTGAAACTGATCAATTGCAGTCCTGAATAACAATAGGAAGATACAAGTAAAGCAACACCAAGTGAATTGTGCTAAGGTTGAAGCTATCACGAGTTCACATAATCTACGAACGAGAAACAAGACTCGGTGACCCAAGACCAGTAAGCTAGCTATTGATGCGTCCCAGCCCCGCTAACTAGAGGGAGAAGTCCAAGCTTGGAAAAGGGAAGTATACTCTTCAAACAGCCAGAAACGAGCGATAACAACAAACACAATTCAGAACGTATATATACAGTACAAAACCATCCTTGGGGAGAGTTACCAAATAGCATATTAAAAGACGCAACGGACCAATAGCATTTAAAATATTTCCCAATGGGAAACACTATATGAAGGTGACAAGAGTGCTTTTGGCGCGAAAATAAAGAAATTCAAATTTTCTAAATAAAATTACAAAATTAGGTCCATTCCCAAGTGAGTTCTGGGGATCTAACGTCCCCAAAAAATTGAAATTTAATTGTTTTTAAAATAACATTTAAACATTTATAAGTTGTTTGTCCTATTTGTTTTTGCTTTTTTTATCTCTTATAATCAGTTGATTACACCACATGCTCTACGTGTTAGTACTCCACCAAGACATTTATCTGGTGTAGTTGAAGTGACATTAGCATTTAAAAATAAAACATTCTGTAAAAATAATCCAGGCAGATTTGCTTATATTGGTAAGTATATCATTTTTAATATTAAATAATTATCTCATCTATTTTTATGATTATACTCTTTGTCATTCTGTTCCAGTAATTGATTGAGGGTATTATATAACTTGATTTTCTTAGGTTTACTAACTTGTTTCTATGTCTAGAAAAACATAATCTGTTTATTATATTCATAAACTAAATAATAATTTCTATATTCTTATAAACTTATATCACAATTGATTGATCACTGGGTGGCGATCAATGTCATGCATGTCTAGTCCTTATCACCACCCAGTGATCAATCAATTGTGATTACATCTCAGCCCTACAGGAGGTCGGTCGCGGCTCGGATAGCTCAGTGGTAACGTCTCTGACCGTGAAGCTGGGTGACACGAGATCGAATCCGCCAGGGAGAACCAGTTCCTTCGAGATTACAGGTACACCTTTGTGAAGAGTGCCAAGTAGCACGAAACACGGGTCCAGGGTTTCCTGTCGACTACCTTCAACCACCATCTATAAACTTATATCTCTATTAAATAACTTTGTAGTTACAAAATCAAATTAAATAAGAAAGATTAGTTCAGTGAAGAGTTCTCTTTTCGACGAATTCATTTTCAAAATTGTACAATCACAAATATATATGTATACTTATTTTCACAGGATGATAATAATACTGATAATAAACTTCTGTTAGACATGGTGACAGTGAGGTTAAATAAACAAAGGTATTAAGAAAGTTTTTTAAAACAAGGAAAGTTTACTAATCGTTTGATTGTTAATGGCTTAAGTATTGGGCCTTTTAAAGGAGATACTTATCAAAAAACGGATATCCTTCGGTATTTATTGATAAGAACATGAAGCCGAAAACGCCAAAAACACAAATGATTACAGTAGAAAAGAAAACTTTATACATGAACATCGACTTCAAAGGTGATAGAGCGACATATATCTTAAAGAGGAGAATTTCGGACTCCTTAAAAAGAACATTCTACGCAGCAACATTGCTAATATTATTCTCCAGCCGATCATTGTTCACCAATAATCTGAAAGATAAATTCTCACATCTGACCAACTTAGTGTGCATTTACCAATTTACCTGCTCTTGTTGAGCTATGTATATAGGTCGTTTGATGCGTACTTTATCCAAAAGAATTCAACAACATTACCTGGTATGACTAAGAAAAGAGGTGGAAACGGCTCAATAAGAAGTTCTATAATCGAACACCTTGTGAACATAGGTCATTCAATCAACACAGACTCAGCGTTCAAAGTCATCTACAAGGTAAGTAGAAGTCTCCCTAAGACAATTAGACTGCATCTTCTTTGCATTGCCGAAGCAATAGCCATACATCTGGAAGAACCAGAATTGTGTGTGCAAAAGAGACTAGTACAACCTCTCCTTCTACCATGGTATTAATGTATTAAAGATTTTCTCTCTTTTTCATACTGTTGTTCCTTTACAGCCATCTGCTTCACCTTCCATCTTCTCGTTGAATCTTCTACCCCCAACTGGTTTGTTTTTATTTCCACGATCATTCCGACTACATTTCATCTCTGTTTCAACATTTTATTTTATCATGCTGAGCCATCCTTTTCCAATGATAATTTCCCCATCCTTTGATGAATACTTAAGCCATTAACAATCAAACGATTAGTAAACTTTCCTTGTTTTAAAAAACTTTCTTAATACCTTTGTTTATTTAACCTCACTGTCACCATGTCTAACAGAAGTTTATTATCAGTATTATTATCATCCTGTGAAAATAAGTATACATATATATTTGTGATTGTACAATTTTGAAAATGAATTCGTCGAAAAGAGAACTCTTCACTGAACTAATCTTTCTTATTTAATGTCTTAATGGGTGTATTCCTTTTACAAAATCAAATTACCTTGTTAAGAAACTCTTGACTAATTAATTAGGTAGATAGTAATATGTGTGATGAGTTTTGAACATATAATTCGTTTTACAAGCAAAGATAGATGGTAACTAGGAGTGGAATCATAGAGTTGATGTTCGCTTCAGGACTCAAATCCAATCCTAAGTCCTGGTAGCCACTAGTTTGTGCAATGGTATGAAGATTAAATTTATTTTGTATTGTTTGTTTGAATCCTCCTATTGATGTTTTAGGACTACGATTGATCAGTGTCTTGTTGACATATGTGCATCCTGTGTAAACTACCTTGGGTTCAAATACTTTTCCCTAGACCATCCAGTTAAATAATTTTGATTAAATACACTTTAGTTGCAAACACGGATGGTGGATAGCAGTGGAATCCATGATGCGCGTCTCGTCCTTTTTGGAACTCGTCAGCTAGGTGGATAACGCGATGGCGTCTGAAATGAATGTTACTGGGTCCGAGTCCCGGAGTAAATAAATATCAACTCAGGGATGCAAGTATATCCAACTGACAAGTCCCAAGTAGGGCGAAACGCCTGTCATGGATTCCACTACTAGCCACCATCCATCCAACCTTATAATGCTTGTGACTTAAGACAATATCGAGGAAATCCGTTTAGGATGGTCGTATGTCAACAAGAGACTGATCGATTGCAGTTCTGAACATCAATGGGAAGATTCAAACAAACAATACAAAATGAATTTAAATAATTTGTTTTTCATGCATAATATAATGTTATATGAAATAAATGAATTATGGCTAACAGTAGAATTCAAGGAAATGGTTTCGTCCTGTTTAGAACTCGTCAGTGTTAATGTTTACATTGGAACTAGAACACTGTACTTGTTGCTTTGAACGCTCACAGCGTTTCGATTGAATTGTTGAATTCAAACAATTACTAACATTTTTAAAGGTTTCGGTGATTAAGAGTTTAAACAATCCTAGTGTTGATATTTAGAACCGAATTCTGGATTAATAATAATGTATATCGACACAATTTGCACTGGATGTGCACATATCAACAAAGACTGGTTAACTAATAGGTTCTGAGTATTGATACTGGGATGATTTAAACTCTTAATAAATGGATATTATTATAATCCATGTAAGATAATTTTGTATCTTCCTACCCATATTAATAAGAAGGAATTATTCATATAAAACTATACTGACTTTTCTTCATCTAGCAATGACAGATCCTACAATTGAATATGGTTTTCAAAGATTATGCAAAATTATTCCACGTCATCCAGGTGATCCAGAACGTTTACCACGTGAAATCATCTTAAAACGTGCTGCAGATTTAGCCGAAGCATTATATACAATGCCTAATCGTGGTGGTATTGGATTTCGATCACCACATTTACAACTAGCTTCACAATCACTACAACCAACATCATCATTATCATCCTCTATATTTTGTACTAATCAAGAAGAAACAGAAGAGAGAGCAGAAGAAGAAGAACGTCATCAACAACATTCACAACATCTAACAGACAGTAATCAAAATTTAGACAATCGATGTACATCATCTTCAAATAATGTTAATAATAACAATAATACTAGTCATATTTCATTATGTCCTAATGTTTCCTCAGTGCAAATGGGATCAATGAATAGTTTTCTAGCACTAACTGGTCAAAATGGTATTAATTTTTATCCATATGGAATAACAACATCAACGACAACATCAGCAGCAGCGCCATCAATTCTATCAAATTTGGAGTTAAATGAACATCGTGACAACTTGTCAGCTTTACATGATTCTAGAATTAGTTTACATAAAGCTTTTTATACATTTGATAGAAAAGATGTTGATAATGTAATATCAAGCGGTTATTGTTGTTGTACTACAACTGGTACATCAACAACCACAACAATGGCAACAACAACGACAACAGCACATTTAATCCATTCCAATTCTAATTCAACATCTATTATAAATGATGATATTATTGGTATGAGTCAAAGTAGTCCTGAAAGTGGTACAGTCACTAGTAATAGTAGTGGTGGTCTAGAAAGTGTACAAAGTGATATGAATTGTTTAGATAATATAAATCATCATAATTCTCCAACAAATTCAAATAATGATGAATTACAAAATTCACTAAACTGTCATCATCATCATCAACAACAATCCCATTCACATCGTCAGTCACAATTGAATCTTCATCGAAATCAGCATGGATTTGAAGATATTGTCGAAGATGATAATGAAGAAGGCGATAACAATGATAATAATAATAATAATAATACTCATGATCATTTAAATAATCATAGATCATGTTTAATGTTAAGTAATAAAAAGTTGAAACAGTCAAATATTTACACAGAATCTGTTAACCATAATCATCATCATCATTATCATCATCATCCATTGAAGAGGTTACGTTGTGATTGGTCAATAGAAGAGAAACAAATGAATGAAACTAGACAACGACAAGAAATATATGATGTAATAAAAATGCCAAATGATTCATTTCAAACTATTACACGTAATATAGCACCATTTTTAAGGCATATCAATGATGAAATGAATTATAATGTTAATGTTCTACCTGAAATGAATTCATCAATAATGAAACATCATGATAAACCATTAATCACTACATCTTTAAATACAGATTTTGCACCGAATTTAAATCCTTCTTATCATGTATCACAAGCAAATATATTAGATTCAAATAATGATAATTGTTTATTGAAATCAGTTAATACAAATGAAATAACTGAGGTAATGAATCAAATTTTTTATGAAGTTTTTAGTATAAGGTTGTGAAGATTATTAAGTTTTTGATTGAGATCATGAAACGATTGATGCTAGATCACCATTGAAAACTTAGAAGCACTGGACAACTGTTTCGTTCTATTGCGAAAATCCTCAGCAGTGCGTATCCACGATCCCGCTGCTGGGATTCGAAACCAGGGCTTTCAGTCTCGCGTGTGAACGCTTAACCTCTAGACCACTGAGTCATCATCCAACGGTTTTAATGTCTAACTTCAACCAATCCACGAAATTGCGCGACCATCTTTCATTTTACTGAGGTAGATATCTGACTCTACCCGATGTGGATTAGCTTCACTGGTCACGGCTTCTCACTAGAGTTCCGAGAATCCCCTCACGAAGCTAGTCACTAGTGAGCACATGGTAATTATCAGTATAGGAGTTGTGGAGATAATTAAGTTTTGGATTGAGATCATGAACCTATTGATGTTAGAACACCATTTAAAACCTGGAAGCACTGGATGGCCGTTTCTTCCTATTGTGGGACTCTTAAGCAGTGCGCACCCATAACCCTATACCGAAAATGTTATATCCTTAAAATTAAAATGACGTTTTAAACATGACAAGAAGTCATGGAAAGCCTAAAGTTGGTTTTTCTATTTGAACTTAGTAGTTCAGTAAGAAACGCTATGAACGTTTAAAGGGAGAGGTCCTGGATTCGAGTCCCGAAATCAACATTAACACAGATGTGATAGGTACATTTAGCTGACGAGTCCCAAATAGGTTAAGATATACGTTCTGAATTCTACTACAAGCTTATATCTAACTTTACTTTAAGATTGTTTTTCCTAGTTTTAAATTTTTCAGTATTAAGATTGTTGGTGAGCACAATTGAGGAGTCCCAAAAATGAGACGTACTAGCTGTCTAATCACTAATGAATTCCCAATGCTACCTGTAGTTGATTTCATTTTGGGTTAAATTCTGCGTCATACTTTAACAACATCAACAAACCGAAATTTCGTTTAGTATAGAAAATAGAATAAAACCAATGCTTATATACTATATTTATCTGAAACGTTGACAAATATTCTACCTAAAGTCAACTCTAACGAAATACAACTAAGGTGTTCTATAATAATGGCTCGAATAGCTCCGTCACAAAGTCTCAGACTATAAATCATGGACGATATGGGTTCGAACCCAACATGTAGCTTCAGTTTCCTCAAGACTATAAGCATGCCTTGTTGATAAGTATCAACTTCCTCCAGAAGCCCAGAAATTTATAGTTACTTCTATCAAATTTAGCGGTAAAATTCATCCTATACGCTTTAGTTTGTCATTTTTCAGATCATCTACTCATAATAACTTTATTGGAAACTGAAATGTATATTTAATGTAACAGATACACACATTATCAATCTAATCAATCATAAGTAAGTATAATTGAGTGTATTTTAGCATCCATGGAAGTTTGGAGAAAAATTTACTTGCGAATCAAATTGTAAATAACTGGTCACGTAGTGTTATGTCTAATTGATAACTTAATATCAACCAAAATTTTCATAAATAAATATTTTCCATGTAAATTAAGGTTAATTAACTCGTGGTGTATACTACTCAATGTCAACAGATATAAGTAGTAAGTAACACCAATCGGTAATTGAAAAACCGACACCAGAAGGCTATCAAGATCGACTTGAAGAAAAAATAAAAATAAAAATACGAAAGAATTGTGAATCAGAAGAAGCATACACAATGTAAAGGGTAGATGATGATAGTTTGCAAATAAAGTATTCAATGTATTTTTCTCATATGTTATCAAGAGATTCAGTTATTTCCCATTGAAGTACATTTAGCTGCCCCGACTTATGTTCTCGTTCATAATAAACTTACTTTAATCGTAAGTATCTTCCATAATCTCGTACGGTCAGTTGGCACATATTTGTGTCAGTTGATATACTGATAGGTTCAAAATAAGAAGAAACATTCGTACTGACCTTTGTTATTTGTCAATATCTAGATAATAATGATAATATATTATAATAACCACTGATTAATGAATATTTCTTTATTACTTTTTTTATATAAAAAACCCATTTACTAGTACAATGAACATAGAATTAAAACAAGTAACAATGTCAATCAATCAATTTGTCCACAAATTACATCCTATTCAAAATTTAATAAGTCATCATCTCTTTATGAACATAATAGAGATCGTCATCAGATACCACTTTCAAAATCAACTTGTAGATTACCATCAAGTGAGTTAACTTCTATGGTTGAAAATAAAACGACAGATGATAATTCATGGACTGGACCATCATATAACTTACAGGTTAGTTAAATTATCACCATTATTATTATTATTATTATTATTATTATTATTAAATTCACTTGGTATTGTTTACTTGAATCTTCTCATTGATGTTTTAGAACTGTAATTGATCAGTCACTTATTGACATATGTACATTTTGTGCGGATTGCCTCGAGTCCTGGAGTGAATATCAACTATGGGATGCAAGTACATCCAGTTGACGAGTCCCGAATAGGACGAAATGCCCACTACTAACCACTATCCATCTTTGTTTATTATCATTATTATTAGTCGGGTTTATCAAATGGTATACGTTGAGTTAATATTTACCACAACGAAATCCAAAGTCAAATAATGTATGATAGAGGGAAATAAGTATACTCATTATAGAGAAGGATTATCTAGTAGGAAAAGACAAATGAAAATTAGAAGCGACTACACTGAAAAGTGTATGTATTCATCGAAATTAACTCTTGAAATTCTACTTAAGGAATCATAACTAATGAAATTTATTCATGTTATAGTTAAATGGACGCTACAAATCCTACTCGATAATAGCTGAACGATAACGTAAGTCTAGGGAATAGAGGCATTTGAACTATTGGGTTCCGGTTAAGTAGTCTAAAGTTATCGAGCTCATTACGCAATCTGGAGATATTGAATGTGATCCAATATTTAGTAGTAGTACGTGCATAATTACCCAGAGGAGCTCATAAACACAAATTAACTCTTCAACATGACCTGGTATTCAGTAATTCAACTGTTTATTTCGGTTTGTAATAAAAACTAACCTCATTTATTCTTATTGATAAAAGTTCATTTGATTGAACTCGATAATTATAAATAGTATCATTTGTTTAATCATTAAACCAATTATCACGTATTAGATAACAGGTCTCAAATTTTTGTGCTAAATTCACTCATTCATTTGGCCAAATAGAGTCTTGGGATTATAGCCGATGTCAGTTCGTGATGAAAATCCTAAATATAATTCCTAACCTTAACCATCAACTGGAAATCACAATTCGAATTCCTCACACATGTTTATAACCCTCATTTAGTCCTAGTTATTAGGTAGACATTCTCAAGGTCAGTCTAGCTTCAGTGGTAGTAATATATAAAAGAAGGATTGTGCATAAGGATAAAATACAAGAGAGAAGAATTATTTAGTAGAAAGTAAGGTATAGAGTAGTTTTAATCTCACGGTTTGAGAGAAGACACAGTGTATACACCTACAACATTGTGATTGATTCTGAGCTATGTCACTCAGAGTCCCCAACCATTGGTTATGATAGTTGCGCGGACCCCAACCAAGTAGTCTGTATCTACCAACATAGATCAGACCAGAAGTCAGTGACTTCAAGCACTGATGCCACGTTTTGGTTTGGCCGTCCCTAAATTTCTCCCAACCATTCCCAACACTAGTCAGCATTGCGCGTCGTGGTAATCGGTGTTCAGGCATACGCAACACTTGACTCAACCATCTCAGTCGATGAAGATTCACAACTGCATCAATCTCTCATGCCTTGTGTCTAACCTCACTGTTACCCCCCTGGCGATCTCATCAGATGCCAGCAATATTTCTAAGACATCTGTGATCAAACACTAGCAAGTTACAAGTATCTTCTACTGTTAATGGCCACGTTTCACAGCCGTTAAGTAGAACTGAACGAACTGTTTTATATCTAACATTACTATGATTTATAAATAGTGCTTATTTTGAGGCTTACATCACGTATTGGCTATAGTTGGTCAACCATTGAAAACTAAAAAGCACTAAATGGTTGATTCGTTCTGGTAAGTGACCTCTCAATAGTGCTCAATCTTACCAGGCTTCGAAATCAAAATCTTTAAACCCTGAATAGAGTGATTTAGCTTTAGATTGTTAAGTCGGAATCCGATGACCCATACTTCTAAATTCAATCGGTAATACCTGTTTCTGATCATAGCTCCTCATTAGAAATCCAGAAGCATCTGTCTAATTTCTAGCAGTTGTCTCGCTAAAGTCAGTTCGTAATGTAAACCACTACATTGTATGCTACTAATAATCACGTGTTCACATGTGATAAAATTTGGAGTAGATCTCTCAAGTTTTCATCAGAAGTTGTAATTGATGTAAACCAAACATATCAAACATGAAACAGTTACCACTGATAAAGACAGATGATGATTGTGATGTATAACGAGTAAACCAGAATTAGAAATGAGAAGTATAAGATCTCGTCTCAGTTGTTTTAAGATTATAGACTAGCCACAAATCCCTAACTTCTAGGTTTTGCTCCTCAGTAACATCATTGTTGTGTACAGTTAAAGGGTCCGATATAATGATAAAATAATTTCCTAGTGATTACTGATTAAAAATGATAATAAACTAAAACAGTCTAATCACATTTACTTATTTTTTATCCATCCTTATGTAACTATTGTTCTCTTCTGAATAACTTGTGTGCTGTTTCGTTTATTTCAATTAACAGCATTTATCAACATCGTTAATTTATCTAGCAGATAACTATACAGATCATGATATAGAATCAACATCATCTTTATGTTCTACAACAGAAACACTATCTTCAATAAAAAATTCAATTAACACTCCATCATCAATATCATCTATTAGAACAAGAACAAATTCTGTACAATCACCTAATCATGAACATCAAATTCATTTGATGCAAAGAATAAAATTAAATGAAGCATCAAAACCTATAAATCATATGTTTCATTCAACTCCAACATTATCTTCACCTTTATCTTTATCAGGTTCCATCTCTTCCTCCTCTTCATCCTCCTCCTCATCATCATCAACGTCATCGGCTACGACTATTCATGAGTCAATGATAAGTAAAGAAACTGTTATGGATTCTTCAAGTCCAATTATACAATGGTCAAAGTAAGTTCAATTCGAAAATAGTTTACATGATTGGTTGACATCAGCTCAAGAACTATTGTGGTAACCAATGAATTGTAAAACTAAAATAGTGTAGTTTACTTGTAGCCCCTAATTTTTGGTTGGTTCTTTCAAAAACTAAATCACTCCTCTTTACAACAAAATTATTCCCAAATTTATTTGAAAGCGTTTTGTGGAGATTGGTTTAATCTGTAGGTTGAATTTATCATATATTGATCTCAGCTAAGATACCATTACAAACCCAAAGAATACTAGGTGGCTGTTTCGTCCCAGTATAAGACTTCTCACCGGTGCACATCTATCCAGCTCACATAGATTTAGCCTAATCGGTGAGTAATACGGCTAAAAAATTAAATAGATGTCTACAAAATCCATTCAACTCACAAGCAAATCAATTGAAAATGCCCCTGAAATGCTAATAAGGAGTATTGACTGTTGGAGATCAGACTGAAAAGTTGTCACTAATGACTTTTGGTTTTTATTATGCTACATCTTGAATCTGTTTAATTAGGATCTGTACCGCTGGAAGTCAATCAACTGTTTCAAACTGCCAATCATTTACTACGGGACTTGAAGTTTCATAGTGTTAACTGGTGAAAAATTCCATACTAGAGTTAAGCTTCTGTTTAGCACTCCCCAGTTTCCTATATACATTCATGAATCACACAAGCAAACCGATTAGTCGATATACAATTGAATCATAAAAGATTATAGATTTATCTAATATTTATTGTGTGATAGTTATGGCAAGTAAACAATGAAATTCATGTTGGAATTGTTGTATATTCCTTAATCACTTATTGATTACCATCTACCATACCATACTACTGATTTTTATCTCAAATTTTTTCGACGCGTTTTCAATCGTTACTTTAATTTGAACTTAACAACAAAAGATGAAAAGATCATGAGTCAATTGAAGCTAGACCACCATGGAAAACCTGGAAGCACTCGACGACCGTTTCAACATTAACACCATTGGATGCCTGCTCAGTGATCCAGTAGGTTAAGCGTTCGTGCGCGAGACTGATAGGTGCTGGGTTTGAATCTCGCGAGGCGGGATCGTGGATGCGCACTGGTGAGGAGTACCATAGTAGGACGAGATGGTCGTCCAGTACATCCAGGTTTTCTATCGTGGTCTAGATCCAACTGACTCATGATATCAACTATTGAAATTACTATAATATCCATAAAAACCTCTACTGACACTAAAAGATGAAATGGCCCATTTTTTGTTTTTCAGAAAAAGTATTTATTTCAAGTGTACTTATACTGTAACATTCTAATAGAAATTAAACATTTACAAGTAGGCAGGGACAAAAGGAAGGAAATGTGTGTGTAAGTGGTAATAAAGGCAATTTTACTCAATTAATCAATGACTAACTTTTTCTTATTGAACTACGACGATCAATCTCATATTTGCTTTGTCTTTTAGTGTGGATTTCATTTTATCGATCAAATTATAATATAGTCACTAGTTTGATTGCTACGAGATCGTGTATAATGTATTGAGATATTCTATGGTTAAAGGTAGTAAGTAGGAAACTCTGTGAAGGGACTAATGCTCCATGTAGAATTTAACTCCCCCTATCAACCAGCTTTAGTATTTGAGATATTATCATTGAGCTATTCAATTTACTAGAGAGTACTTTCTATCACAAAAAATGTAAGATAAATCCTCTACGTTCAGTTTAATGATTGAATAATGAAATAATTGTTAGAAGGTTGGTGGAATATTTACTAACATTCAGATGGATACAAATGTATATACTGAAATATCACCGCTCTTAGTTCCTTAGAAAAGATTTCCAAATCAATCACCCAGAAAAAGTAATCGAAACTCAACTTTTAGTTTGAAAATTGAAAATCAACATGAAACTAGATAAAATATTATTCGCACTTAATAGTAGATAGTCGTTTGACTTTTGAATGTTTAAAGTAACAGACACTAGCTTTGAGCCTATGTGTGAACATCAATGTTGGAATGTAGTTACATTGAACCAACCAGTTTCAAATATTATATAGTACGAATAAAAGATATTTAAACAAATTAGAATGATTCCTTTTCGTATTCTAAATCAACAAACTTTATTTCTATGTTTTTGGTTGAGATCATGAATTAATTGATGTTAGACCACCGTTGGAAACCTGGAAGCACTGGACGGCCGTTTCGTCCTAGTGTGGGACTCCTCAGCAGTGCTTATAATTTTGAGAACTAGATTTAACCAATTCAGTCAGAAAAGAAACTACAATTTCCCTTATGATTGTTATTAGCATGAAGTAAATCATCATAAAAAACTATTCCCAAAGGAAAAACAAAGCTACCATTTGATGACTAAGTTTTAATTAGTCATGCCACTTTCACTTTTTTTTAGAAAAAAATATGTATACTTGCCGAAGTAGGCATTAGGAGTTGTCTGAATTGTTAATCTCTTTGAATCAGTATTGCTCAATTCAGCATGAATGAAACAACCAATCAATATGTTCATCGCTGAAATCTTGTAATCCACCTCCATTGATGTTACACAATGGTCATGATAATGATAAAGCTGTACAATCGTATATATAGGTAGTTATTTTTTTATCTGTAGTAGTCTATAGTATAATAGAGTTGCACAAACTTAGCAAAGATATTGATCGAGGTCATGAATCGATTGATGTTAGACCACCATTGGAAACTTGGAAGCATTGGGTGGCAGTTTCGTCCTATTACGGGACTCCTCAGCAAGGTGCGTTCACGACTCCGCACGCGGGATTCGGACCCAGGACCTTCAGTTTCGCACATGAACCCTTGGCCTCTAGACCACTGATCCAGCCGGCACCCAATGGTGTTAATGTCTAACCCTAATCAACCAAGTACGTCATCGGAGGTCCTGAGTTCGAGTCCAACGAGCAGGATCTTATATGTGCACTTCTGAGGAGTCCCATAATAGGACAAAACGGCCGTTTACTGCTTTCAGGTTCTTAATGGTGGTCTAACATCAATCGGTTCATGATCTCAATCAAAAAAACCCATACTGGTAATTATTAAAGATAGTCAAACTTATTCAAGATTATTAGAAAGAAATGTCAATTATTATGTACAAAAATTGATAGATGGTAGGGTATTATCTCAATTTAATTTAGGTTTTTTTGAAGTATTGAATAAAGAAAGGAAATTATTCTTCGCTGAAACGTCCCATAGTTTTACATTTGTGTAGAAATTTTCTTTACAAATCGATGAAAAAATATGACGAGACAATAAAATGAACTTTTAGTTCCCACGGTTTCTGAAAGTTTCTTTAATAACAACATGGGGTTGTAGAGATTGTTGAGCTTTGAGATCATGAATCAATCAGTGTTAGACTGTAGAAACGCACTGCTGAGGAGTCCCAAACTAAGACGAAATGGCCGTTCAGTGCTTCCAGATTTTCAATTATGGTCAAAAAGTTGATCGATTTATGATCTTGATTTCTTTTATTAAGTTTTTACGACATAAATCCACCTCTTATTCAATGTATAAACAAAAGTCTATTTTTAAAGAAATGGAAGCTGTACTAGTTCTTCTAAAAATAATTATCTGGAAAATATCTACTTTAAAAACAGAATACATTTCGTGTTACTTCGTTTTCACATTGTATCGTTTGCACTGTATAACGTCACAATAAGATTTATTGTTAAAGAACTTGGTTCTGAACAAATCGTATGCTCTAAAATGCAAATCATACGGAGTATTTCATAATCTATATTACGAATTGATCTTAGTTAAATAAATATGGACAGCCGTTTCATTTTTAGCTCAAGTCCCTTCAGTGGTATTGACAATCCATGACCCCCCAGCCAATCAAACTGAAAACTATCAATTTCCACGGTGAGGGCCTAATTTTTATACCGCATTTTGAGATTTGCACAACCATCTCCCGATTCCATTGGTAATTAAATACTTTATATTAAAATCCTATCGGTTACTCCCATTTAAATGTCACGCTAAAATTAAAAGTCATTGTCTTGAATCTGATCGAGTTATTAGTACACCATAATCACACTATTTTGTCTCATCATTTGGTTTCAATGATGCTTAAGTTGTTTTTTTAAAATCCTATTTCTGCCTTGTTTTCCTTATTCTGATTAGATAACCAAGGGATAATCGTTAACCAAATGAAATGACGACAACACATATACAGTTCAAAGAGAAGCTACACTGCACAACATTTATTTATTACTGTTATTATCTTCATTAAATAACCCCCCTCTTTTAAAAACAAACAAACAAATACCCTGAACAAAATTAATCGTCAACTGACTAAATCATTCATTCTTTATTCATATGTGCATGTGGGTGTGCGTGTGTCCAATCAACTTAATATCGAGTTCAATGTATTCTCATCATTTCAATCCCAACACTGATATCAACAAAAAAAAGGCGAGACTATAATTTATGAACGAACCAATCAGATTTATGACAACAGGTCTTGGATTTCGACGCGAAATTCTTTATCTATTTGACATTATAGCCGATGTCAGTTCGTGATGAAAACGCAAAATCTAATTCCTAACCTTAACCATCAACTGTAAATCACAATTTTTATCCTTCACACAGGTTTAAAATCCTCATTTAGCCCTAGTCAGTTGGTGAACATTCTTAAGGTCACTTTGGCGTCGTCTAAAGGTCGTCCATACATTATAGTCCCATCATAAAAAATATCAAAGATATCTAATCTAAAAATTTAATCCATACACATTGACTTGTAGTTAAAAAGAATCAAAAAGTTTTTTCTTTCATAATTACTATGACATAATGATCTTAATTTTTGGCTTTCTTTTGTACAGTGAATGCAAAATAATAATTTTTACAAATTGTAATCTTATTTTGCAAACATAAATGTGTAATAATAAGAAAACTAAAATATGAAGCGTTATCACTTACTTAGTTTAATAGTTTTTTGTTTGTTCTGATACGGTCAAGAGTGGGCGCAACCAACTCTCTACCTACACATCGCTACGCGTATACAGATACTCCCACAGAAATCCCACTTACTGCCTTCGCGCGACAGTGGGTGTTATTTACGAACTTCAGAGCACGAAAAGTGAATGTCCGGTGCTTTAAATGGGTTGGCGAATATAGAGGATACACCTAGGGGAGTTAAAAGACTATGATTCCAAACCATTGGTGTACATGAGCACGACGATCCTAAGGAAACAAATGGTGTGTCAGCCTATTGTTGGTCACCGGCTACCACGCGACTGATGTTGCGCTACTGCCTTGTGGATTAGACCTTTAGGTCAAAGGCTCGGAGAATGGAACCCTAAGTAAACCACTTGCTTCGGTTTAGGCACTCGAGCAGTATCTCAGCCCTCACACAAATCGAATGATTTATGTGGCGCACATATATTTGGTGCCTCCTTGTACCAATTTTCATGTGTTTGATAAATAAATAAATATGAAAAGACATCGTAGAACCAGGAAGTATTGGTTAGTTGTATGGAATTTCTCAATAGTTCCCGTTAAGGACTTTACTTAGGAATGAACCATTAGCATCCAAGTCTTATAGAACGTACAAGTTTCAAAGTTTAGTTAGATAATCATTTTAAATTGAAAAACACTAAGTAATTATTTCATTCTAGTCAGACACTCCTCAGCAATGTTCATTCATCACACACATAAGGACTAAACCCAGAACCTTCAGGCCACTTGTCGAATAATTTTATAGAATAAAAGTTTCTATCAAAATTAATTTCTGTTCAATGTAATTAAGAACATCATCTGTATACATGATGAACAAACAAATAGGTGAGATATTTCTGAAAAAAATTATCACACCTTAATAGTATTTTGATTGAAGAATTTTATATCTTAAATCTTTAGCACTTTCTCAACAGTCATAACAGAAACGATCAAGAAATTCAAGAACAATGTTCTTAAAGATAGAAATATTTAAGATATCATGAATTGATCAATGTTGGCCGCACAATCTCGTGGATCGGTTGAAGTTAGACATTAACACCGTTGGGTCCTGGTCAGCTAAGTGGTGTAGAGGTTAAGTGTTTGCGCGCGAGACCGAAGATCCTGGGTTCGAGTTCTGCGCGCAGGATCGCGGATGCGCCCAGTTAAGGTTTCCCATACTAAGACAAAACGGCTATCCAGTGCTTCCAGGTCTTCCATGATGGTCTAGCTTTAAGTGACTCATGAATTCAACTACTAAATTACTAAAATATCCACAAAACTCCCTTCTGATAAACAACTGATATTTATTTATTACCAATCAACTATATCGTAAACATACATACAAACAAAAGTTGAAATTCTTTGAGTTAATCCAATGTACAGTCAAAATGAATGTCAATTAGCACGAAACTTAAATTCATGCTTCCTGTAAACTGTTTCAAATAACCCAACACAAAAATATAGTATAAGTAATGTAAATCAATTAAACTAATGTTCACAATATGACTTGACCAATGCAATTCAATTAGCATTAAAGAACTAGAGAAATACAACATTACTTATTATACAGTGATAAATCCATATAAACATCTCAGTCCTTCATAAGATCAGTTACTAGAGAATAGGTCATGAGATAGTGGTGATGATTTGTAGTTCAGGTGGATGATTTTGACGTAGTTTCGTCCTATAAGCTCGTCCTAGTATGGGACTCCTCGGCAGCGCGCATCCACGATCCTACACCCCGCGAGATTCGAACCCAGGACCTACTGGTTTCGCGCCAGGCGCTTAACCAACTAGACCACTAAGCCGGTATCCAATGGTGTCAATGTCTAACTTCAACCAATCCACGAAGTTGCGCCACCGTACACCATTGTCTTCAGTGAGCTGATATCTCACAACAGACCTGGTTGGACTCCACTAGTAACGGCTTCTCACTAGAACTCCAAGAGTGTCTCTTGAAGTCAATTACTAGTGAGCAGATAATTATTATCAGAAGAGGTTTTGTGGAGATTTTTAGAAATTTCACAGGTTGAAATCATGAGTCAATTGAAGCTAGACCACCATGGAAAACCTGAAAGCACTGGACGGCCGTCTCGTTCTAGTACGGGGCTCCTCAGCAGTGCGCATCCACGATTTGAATCCAGGACCTATCAGTTTCGCACCAGGTCCAGCTTCAATTGACTCATGATTTCAATTTGTGAAATTTCTAAAATCTCCATAAACCCCTTCTGTTTTAAATAAACAACAATCATAACGAAATCATTTCTCTTCTCTTCTCTTCTCTACTAAAAAAGAGAAAAACAAAAGAAAGAAGAGTAAAAACGTTACATAATAATTAAGTTTATGTCATATGAAATGAATTTTCTTCTAAATAAAGGTGTGAAATTCCAAAAAAATTGATGAACTGTAAAATCTAAAATAAAGAAAAAAAGAAAAAAAAGAAAAAAAGAGAAAAATAAAAGAAAAGTCATCAAAACCATGTTTGTAATTTACTTGTCAGAATCCAATTACGTAATGAATCAAATGTTATTATTACTATTATTATTATTATGAAAGAGGTGTACACGCCTACTTTTACATATAAGTAGTGTATATTATTTAGCATAGAAAAATATATAATGAATAAATGAGTAAACGAATAACTAAATGAATGAATGAATGAATGAAGGAGTGAATAAGAAAAAGAAAAGATAACCAAAGAATGAAAGAAGTATCAAGAGAAATAGAGGAAACTTATGCAAAATAAGTCAATTCTTTAATCATATAGATAAACTCTAAAGGTTATAATTTGATAAATAATATTAAATAATAATTAAGTAAACTGTTGTAAATAAATCAGGTGAACAGATGGAAAATGATTAGATAATTGGAGTATATATATGTACAGAACGAATCCATCCTGTTTTAAGGTAATTAAATTAATAATTGTCAACATGGAGTTGAAATCATGAGGTGATCTAAGTTAAATTATCACTGAAAACCTGAGAGCACTGGATAAACATTTCGTCATAGTATAGAACGCTTCATCAATGTGTATCCATGATCTCACAACTGGCAATCAAACTTAAAATTTTAGGTCTCGTATACGAATGTTTAACCTCTAGACCATTAATCTGACATTCAACGGTGTGAGGCAGTGACTCATAAGAGATGATGGAAGATGGTCGAATAATATTGTGGATTGATCGAAGTTAAATAATAACACCGTTGTATGCCGGTTCATTAGTCTAGAGATCAAGGACTCACGTTCGAGACACACTGTCCTGAGTTTGCCCCTAGTTGCCCTAATACGGCCGAGGTTGTGGAGTATCGGCTCGCCTCCTCCAAATGCCCTCACATGGCTACGCGTATATAGCAACTGCTAGAGAAGCCCTGCTCACTACCTTTTCGTAGCGGGGGTGTGACTTGTGCGGTGCATATGTTTTCGGTGCCCCTTTTTTGTACCAAAATTTATGCATCAGAATAAACAAATGAATATAAATATTCTGGGTTCGATTCCCACGTTTGTGGTCGTGGATACGCGTTGTTGAATAGTTCTTTAGTAGGATGAAATGGCCATCCAATGCTTACAGGTTTTCAATGGTTGCCTAACTTAGACCAGTTTATAATTTTAATGAAACTGATAGTTTCTGTAACTATCTAACAGGTTTTCAATACTAAAATTAGTTAGTTACTTTCAAAGAAATCCAAAAAGATATGTTTCGTCCTGTTCAAAACTCGTCAATTTGGTGTCCTTTCATCTCACTATTTATGCTTGCAATAATTTGAAACGAGACCAATATGTCAGTGTTGTGATCGGAACTAAAGATTGGTTACTAGTACTGGTACAACTGTTTACTATGACTACGAAATAACATTTGTCTGTTACTTATTGCAACGAAACGAGATAGCTATGGCGGCGTAAGGAAGAAAGCATGAGTATAGAAGAAAACTAACTTATTCACCAACCACTAATTTTAAAGAACATCCACAATAATCATAAAATTATATATTATTTTAACCGTTTAGTCAGTCGATACATGTGAATGAATAGAACTAATATGGTATGTGCTACTGATTTCGACAGATAAGTAGTATGTATCATTAATCGAAAATGAAATGTCTGGAGGCGGAAGGTTAAGAAGATAGAAGAAAAGAGAAAGAGAACATAGAATGATTGCTGTGAAAATGAAGGAACAATGAAGTCTAATACAACTGGTTGACATTTTTCAAATGAATTACTTACCATATAGTTCTCAGAGTTTACTAAAACGTCCTGTAATTTTGTATTCAAATGCATTCCATTGTACCCATTTGTGTTCTCGTTCACTATATTAGTAGTTAATCAGTAATCAAATAGGTGTGCATATTTAGTTTTAAAAATCAATAAATCAACTGAGTTGACCTACTAATATAACTCATAACTGAATTATCTATTTATTTCCATCTTAATAACACTTGTACAGGGAACCCAGAGCCTTTCATTTAAAAGCATCAATACGTCGTCCCATGATATAATGAGTTCAGAAATTCAATGGGTTATGCAACAAGAATGAAAGATTTCTATTTGTATTTATTTTGAGTGTTTTATGTTAAAGGCTGAAACTGTTAAGTTAAACACTTCTGTACTGAATATTCTGATTGATGTTGATATGTAGTTGGAATAATCTTTCCTGAATACTATTTGCAGTGGAATATAGGACCTCTGTTTCGTCTTGTGTCCGACTCGTCAACTGGATGTACTTGTCACATTTGAGTTACTGTTCACTCTGTGATTCAAACTGAATGCTTTTCACTTCAAGCATCAAAAACGTTATCTACTTAACTACTGAGTCCAGATAGTTACTCGCTTGTTCAACAGAATGAATATATGTCAATTAAGAGGTATTATAAATCAGTCAAAGCATCAGAACATCAGACTAATCCAAATCACAACAGATTGAATTATAATTCTTAATACAAACCCAATAGGATGTACAATACGATATCAGTATGTGAATGTTCACATTGAAATAAAGAAATCAGCATTGTTATAATGTATTTAGTATAAACCACATTTAAAACAGTATTTAAGAAAGAAATTACAATCTATTGCTTTCATGGATTAAAAGTATGGTGAAAAGATCTCTACGAAACCCCTTCCTGATAATAATAATAATAATAATAATACAATAGAAACTATTGAGTTCAAGTCTAAAGTGTGAGTTTCAAGGCTAAGATACAACAGTATGCAGTTAAGGAATCCTAAGCAAGACCATACTATCAGTCTGTTAGTTGCAATGTATAACCTAGTACGTAAGTACATTGGTTCACAGTACCATACTTTATTACCCATCGAGATGAAATTATCAGGCCACATCTCAGCGAAGTAGATATAGTCACAAAGTTAGTATTAACAGAAAAAATCAGATATCAAAGATACTATTCAAGAGAATATAAATTAGTTCAATTAAAACAAATAGAAATTATGAGGAATTCAGAACCTTAGAATTTAGGGGTAAACAAAAAATAGATGCATTCAAATGCTCTAACCATTGGTTACAATAATTACGCGAACCCCAACTAGGTAGTCTACACCTATTAACCCGTCTCAGTCCAATTGCCAATGTATTCATGGGCTGGTGCTATATTTTGCTTTCTTCCAGCCTATCCCTACATCAGAGAACATCGTCCGTCGAGTAAGGCAATAGTTGGGCATACGTCATGTCTCAACCACCTCAGTTGATAAAGATTTACTATCTCACCAATCTATTTTCCATCCTTACCTAGTGCCTTATTCCTAACCCTGGTATTGCTCACTCCGTGGTCTTACATTACACGAACAGTACTTCAAGGCACCTATGATTGACTCCTAGTAATCTACTAATATCCTCTATTCTTTATGGCCATATTTCACATTCATAAAGTAGAACAAAGTGAACTGTTGAGCAGTAAACTCGTCCTTTGGTCGACAAATTCATATCTCGCCTAAATCACAAATGACCCAAGTTGAGAAAAGCCAATTGGATTTTTTGAATCCATGAGAAGATTTCATCGAAAAGTAGCCCATGAAGACTGATGAAAATCCAAAGATAATTGAAGTGGTCAATACGTCTAACTATTTCACTCCATATTATTAATCCAGGCTTCGATACAAAGCCAATCTTGAAGCAAAATTTTGCTTTGGGAAAGAGAGATTCACATCCCAAACATGCTTGTATTGTTGTTTAAAGAGGTAAGAATACAACACAAAACGCTTGTTCTCGATTCCACTGCTAGACACAATTCATATGTTTCACTGGTTGAAATCATGAGTCAGTTGAAGCTAGACCACCATGGTGAAAAAAGTGAACAGCTCTATATTGGCCTATTTAGTGCAAGCTAATCATAGTGTCAGTACAAACCAATCCTTTTCAATTATTTATCGGGTCATTAATATTTTCCTAAAACTGCTCAGACTGAAAGTCCCTCAAACGGCTGAAGCAGTAGCCATCCGGATGAAGAAACCTGAGCTATGAGTACAAAATAAATATCTTCAACCACTTATTCTCCCCTGACCAACCTTAAGTTCAGTTAATCAATAGTAATCTTAGCTATTGAATGACCTAATTTGACTATCGTACTTACGACCTTTCGTAGTCAAATGTAATTGTCTCTGTTATCTTCATTCACAAATATTATTATTATTCGTTAAACACCATTATTAATCTCCCATATACATGGTTCATTCACTTCACATTCATTTTTCCTTATTACGTCTTACCAATTTTTCACGCAATATAGTCTTCCATTAAACAATTGATCGAATTGTAATAGCACTATTATTTCTCTCACCCTATCTAACCTATATTTAATGGTTCAGATCATGAATCAATTGAAGCTAGACCACCATGGAAAACCTGAAAGCATTAGACGGCCGTTTCGTCTTAATATGGGGATCCTCAGCAGTGCTTAACCACGATATTTATTTTGATCATAGATCATAAAATTTTCACTTAACATATATGCAGATCGAAGTTAACAATCTATATGAGTCATATCAACATGAACAATTTTATTCTATTTTAAGTTCACTTGGTATTGTTTATTTGAATCTTCCCATTGATGTTTAGGTCTGAAATTGATCAGTCTCTTATTGGCATATGTTCATACTGTGAGTATTGCCTTAATTCACAAGCATTCTAAGCTTGGTTGGATAGTAACTAGCAATGGAATCCAGGACACGCGCCACTTCGTCCTATTTTATTTGACAGTCCGAAATTCTCATGCTTTAACTTTAAACGATGCAGTTCACCCTTAATCTGATCATTTTTCGGATCATTAATTTGAATATGTAATTTCAGAACGTCTTGATGTTGTTAGATCTCCAGAACTCAGTTGATAAATACTTTATTTTTGTAATTTTATTTTAAAATTTTGAATTTCTTGTTTCCGCGTCAGAAGTGCTCAATTTCATCTTCATGTCCTATATCCCACTTGGAAGGATCTTTAACATTATTGGTTCATTGTATCTTTTAGTATACTATTTTGTAACACTTCCTAAGGACAATTTCTATGCTGCATATATACTCTTGATATGTCCTTGTTGTTGTTCGTGTTTCTGGCTGCTTGTCGAATATATTTCCTTCTTCCAAACATAGACTTCTCTCTCTAATTAACGGGGATGGGATGCTAGTTTATCAGTCATTATATCATAGAATCTTCGTTTCTGTTCTTAGATTAGCTGAACTCATAATCTTTTCAAATATAGCACAATCTAAAGAGAATTTATTGAAAAGAATATTCTTCATTCAAATAATAAACATTTTGATATGATGAAAAGAAAAAGTCAATTCTCGATTGGTTTACTCATTATGGGTTTAGTTCAAGATTACTTCCGTTTTGATTCAATGTAGTATTTGTTTTCCTTTCTCGTATGATATTTTATTCTGTATAATATGCGATATTCTTGTATTCCATTGATATAAACTATGCTCAGTCTGCAATTTGTTATAACTCTAAGTATGTTTCATATATGTGATTACATTCTAATTATTAATCAAAATGGGTGTACAACCAATGTATAAATGAGTGTATTTTCTACTAGGATTGTCGTCGTCGTGTTTTGGAGGTTAATAAATCATCACTTATATCAGTCCTTGTGTTCTTACTTTCGCGTCGTGGAAATTGTAGAGGTCCCTCGTTCCGAATATAAGTGATAAGCGTTTCCGACATAACAATCATCGACGACCAGATACAAAAAGTAGCATTAAAAAAGCCAAGACAATAAACATTCAAACGACAAATTACAAAAAAATTTAGCGATGATAGAAATCTTTAAATCATTATTTGTATTATTATCAATTAAATTTCCTTCAACTTATTTATTCATAGATTCTTTAAAGATGCTTTTACCTTATTCTTTATAAGCATATTTCAATGAATTAACTAACTTGACATTGTATTTTAAGGGATTAAAAATTCAAAGATGCCTAAAATAAAATATTATGATTATTATACTCATACTACTACTATTACTATTACTACTACTGATAATAATAATAATAATAATGAGTAATATATATTATATACATTAATTTATGATACGGAATAGAAATGGATTTATCAGTTATGACATAGCAAAATGATAATATTGGAACATAATAAAAATTTGTCATAAAACAAGTCGTATTAATTCTGTCTCATGAGTTGGTTTATGTATTTAGTTATATGTGTGTATGTGTGTAAGAGAAAGAGGGAGTATTAGATTTCTTCCAGCTTTTATACGCTTATTACCCTTGTTTATTTATAAGATAATAATGAATGTGATTAATCTAAGCTCTATATTTATTATATGTATGTATGTATAAGCATATATAGACTTATATTTAATTAGCTAACATAGGCTTAATGTATATTATCTTTGGACAACAGCAATGATAATAATAATAATATCAGTAATAACAACGAATAACATAAAACATAGAGAGAGAGAGAGACAGAGAGAGTGAGTGAAACAGTAAAGTGAATTAATGATTTCCTATCTCTTAGAAATAAAGAAAAACTATTATTTTCTTTCGTATATCTGTAACATCTTTTAGAATGATACTTTTGACGGTGCATACATGATATTCTCAGCTTTTTTAATTCTTCCATTTCTACTCCATCATCATCATCATCACCACCACCACCACCACATTTCCCTTCTCCTCCTCCTATTTCTATCTACCCCTAATATTATTACTTATATTATGTAATCAAAATCAATAAAATTGAGAATAAAATATACACAAAAAAAATACTTAAGCAACGATGAGTAAAAGATAATCTGAATAAATATAGAAAAGTATATTGAAAGATTTGATATAATTCCCTATTGAAATGAAATACTAAACTATAATATTATTATTATCATTATATTAAAACAAATTGATCTTTGATAAATTGAATCATTATCCTCTTATTTTATATCATTTTCTATTACATTCACTTTATTTCTTTAAATGAATTAAAGAACAATCTATAAAAAGTCTATGAATTCATTTATTATTGAATATATGGGCAACTTGAACCCATGTATATATATATGTGCCTGGTCCTATGTTGTAGTTAACTAACTAACTGACTGACTAACTAACTAACTTCATTATTTATGAAAATTGTAGATGTGTATTGAATTTAAGAAAAAGAGAAACAAAGTTTACAAACTATAAACATGTTCATTTGATTATTTAAAAAGAAAATGAAATGTAATTAAGTAGTTAATAATCTTCTTATTAAAATTAATGCTTCAATTGTTCTTCCCTCCTCCCCACCCACCCGACCAATCCTTTTATTTCAATCAAAATAAATACCTGGTTTTTAAGTTTAATCATCATTAAATGTCAACTGTTATACTTGACTAATTCAGCTAACTTGTTTTATTCATAAAAAAGAAAAAAAAATATTTTTAAAACTAAATTTAACATGGGTTTTGTGGAGATTTTTAGAAAATTCACTGATTGAAATCATGAGTCAGTTGAAGCTAGACCACCATAGAAAATTTGGAAGTACTGGACGGCCGTTTCATCCTAGTATGGGACTCCTCACCAGCGCGCATCCACGATCGCACACCCCGCGGTATTCGAACCTCGGACATATTAGTTTCGCACGCCAGCACTTAACCACTAGTGAGAAACCGTTAACAGTGGAGTTCAACCAGGTCTGTTGTGAGATATCACCTCACCGAAGACAATGGTGTACGGTGGCGCAACTTCGTAAATTTAACATGGTCTATGTAAAATAGTATCAAAAATGAATGAGTAACAGGAAACGTTTTTTTGTCAAACGTTTGTTACTACTGATATGAATTATTAGTAGATGAAAAATAGCAATGAAACTTTTTACAGTGAAAATTCCCATTTTGCCATTTGGTAAATAAAGAAGGAACGAATTGAGCGAAGAAATTTCTTTTCAATTAGTTTTTCATCATGGCTCTACACTAATATATATACGTTTTACAATAATAATATAATACTCATAGAGTGGATACATTACGTAATAATTACATAATGACATTTAAATTAACAAGTTTTTCCAAATAAGGAAAATTAAGTATTATGCACAAATATCAACGAATTCTACCATGTTGTTATGTGGATTCCATTTGTAAATAATGTTTCAAGAAATAGTGTTGACTGGGATCAGGAATCGATCTATGTTGGAGCACCATGCTAGCCGGTGTTGGAGATGGTTAGAAGAAAGTCAGGGGCGGCCAAACAAAAGCATGGCATCAGTGCTTGAAGTCACTAACTTCTGGTCTAAATTTAACATGGGTTTTGTGGAGATTTTTAGAAATTTCACAGGTTGAAATCATGAGTCAATTGAAGCTAGACCACTATTGAGAACCCGAAACAATGGATGGCCGTTTTGTCTTAGTATAGGGTTCAACAGTGCTCATTTACGATCTCGCATGTGGAACTCAAACCCAGCATATCCGGTTTCGCGCATGAGTGTTTAATCTCTTGATCACTGAGCTGGCATACAACGGTATTAGTCTTGCATCAATAAATCCACGAAATTGCACGATCGTCTTTTATTGTCTTCGGTGGACAACTGCCTCACACCCGACATGGATTAGCCCCATCGGTCACAGGTATCGATTGTGGTTTAAAATTGGTTGACTCATGATCTCAGTCAAAACTCAATAATCTTCATAGCCCTATTCTGGTAAATAATATTGAATTAAGCAGTTTGTTTTCAGAAAGAAAGATTTTCTGTTGCTTTAAATAGGAATAAGTATTTGCGTAGCAAAGCAAAACGGTAACTTAATGGTAATGTACTGTGACTGGTTTTTAATAGCAATGGTTATAAGAAGTTTGTACTTCAAGTGACATATCATTCATATCCGTTGGAGAAAACTATGCTTTATGTGGAGAGTATCCAATTACAAACTATTTGGGAGATGACCGAACTCAATATTGTTAGGGAATGCCGAAGCTGGAATAGCAAATATACATAATGTCCTAGCCAGTCCTGCTAGATACATTCCGTACATAGTTATATCTCCAGTCTCCCACAGTGTGAACACAGTTGCAACATAAACTGTCTATTCATTGGTACCATTTAAATCTCACTCACTTTCAAACGTCTAACATTACAAGAGATTTTACTTAATTCTTTATTAGTAGTATAACTTATATAGAAGAATAAATTCCAATACGCATCTTATGGTAGTTATATCCTGTGGTGTTATGCACATCCGACAGAAGTGTAAAAATACTGTTTGTCAGATAATGAGCTGTTGACGTTTGGTTTTTAGAAAACTACGACTGAATAGTGCAAGTACTTAACCACTGAGAAATAGTTGGTGTCTATTCTATGTTCACCCTACTTTAAAGGAATCTTTGCAGGGAGTCTTCATACAACAGGTATTGTTATTTGTTTGATGAAAAAATAAAACACCTCCCAGCACGACTGTAATTTATGGACGAACCAATCAGATTTGGGCTAACAGGTCTTCGATTTTGGTGCGAATTCTATCTATCCACTTGGCTAAATAGCATTTAGGTTATATCAATTCGTGATGAAAAACCCTATGTCTAATTCCTAACGCTGACCATCAACAGTAAATTATAATTCTAATGCCTCCCACTGGTCTACAACCTTCATTATGCCCTAGTAAGTAGATGGACACTCAAATATCGCCCATAAATAGTAGTCTCATCGTTTCTAGAATTGAACGGTTTATCAATAAACGTAGAAATATTGTTGGTTTCTGTACATGAACAAGTCTTGAAGTGAAGCTTGTATTTCTAACTTGTCACTTTTCTCTATTGTTCCGGTTCGTATGTAGAAGTCATCTGAAGATACAGAAAGCGGACACGAAGTTAACAACAACCGCTTGAATAGCAAACTTCATATCATGTGTCATGTGACATGAATTCATCATAATGACTGAATAAAACAATCTCGATCACTTAAAACAGGAAACTTGTTAAGATTATTCAAGTTGAAGACAATTTGCATCACTAACTGAACATAAGAATTAGACAGTTAACACCGATCATAATGCTGTGAAAAGATTGAATTTGGAAATATAAACCAGTAGATACTGACTCGAGGGTTTAAAGATAATACCTGAAGGTATGATTTTTGATATGTGACAGGGTTATAGGTATGCAATGTTGAGAAATCTTATACTAAGAGAAAGCTCTATTACGCTCTCGCGTTTCTAATAATTCCGAAACTGAAATCAAACTAACGAATACAACCTAGAAAAAATCTTATGTGTTTCATATATGCTGGTAAATATTTTCGTTAGATGTATCTGATATGAGAAATACTATGACTGAGTTGACTAATTAATCCAAAAGCTTACAAAAATTCCCGTATTTATTTTTGGATCCTGAAATTATGAATCAGTATACATTATACATATATATATATATATATATATACCGTATCCAAATGCTCCCACATACACAGTCACTGCCGCGAGCCTCGTAGCAAGGGGTGTTGTTTATGAAATTCAGAGGACGATAACTGAATGTCCGACGCTTTAAAAGGGTTGGCGAATATAGAGGACACATCTATGGGAGTTGAAAAACCCTGATTTCAAACCAATTGTGAACATGGACTACAGGATCCTGAAGAAACAAGTGTCGTCTCAACCTATTTTTGGTCACCGGCTACTATGCGACTGCATTTCCTCCTAATGTCGCTCCATTACTTTGTGGATTAGACTTATAGGTCAAAGACTCAAGGAGTAACCCTTAAACAAATCGAATGATAAAGTGTGGCGCATGTATAAATAAACAATAATATCAATATGAACTGATTTTAATCGACCTCAGATTTGTTAGTTATAGTTGAATCTAAAACAAGAGTTTTTGCATCACCACCACCAACAACAACAACGACAACAAGAAAAAAACAACTCTATATTAAAAGTATAATCTGTAAAAAATGAGAGGGGGATAAAAACATCGGTGATACGATTCCCTTTCTATAATGATTGTAATAATCCATGTAAATAATGATTCTTTAAAATGTTAATTAAAAAAACACACACTGGACAATCCATTTACATTTTTGCTGATATTAATTTTAATGTTGATAATATATTCGGTGTATCTGGGAACAGAATAGCAGCACGTCGTAAATTTAACAATAAATTCATATATAAATCATCATGGTGTACAGATAATTGATAATCTTTATTCACAGTTAACCACCATAAACTAAAATTGACTAAAGCTGTAGCAAATATCTAAAGTTGGATAAAACAAACAAACAAACGAAAAGAGAAAAGAAAAGTGAGAAGAAAAAAGTACACACACAACTATGAACATTATCAGTCAGTCAGCCACAACGCAGGACCAGGCACATATATGCATCGGTTCAGGTTGCCATACCGCATTAGCACAGCAAGATGAACACCTACGCCATTGTGATCGATTCTGAGCCATGTCACCAAGAGTCTCCAACCATCGGTTACGAAAGTCACGCGGACCCCAACCAAGTAGTCTGCATCTACCAACATGGCTCAGACTAGAGGTTAGTGTCTTCAAGCACTGATGCCACGTTTCGATTTGGCCGCCCCTAATTCTCTTCCAACCATCTCTAACACCCGTTAGCATTGCACGACGTAGTAATCTGTGTTCAGGCATATGTAACACTTGGCCCAACCATCTCAGTCGATGAAGATTAGCAACCTCATCAACTGATTTACCATCATTATCTAATACCCTGCGTCTAACCTCACTATTACTTACATAAACATTATCACTATGATTACTATGCTTACAACAATAGGTAATAATAACATGCATTAGGAGCATTCAGATATATGATGTACTTGTGCATACATATTAGTTCAAGGTCAAATATGTGTTAAATGAAGCACGCTGTTCGTTGATGCCGTTTATGTACTATGATAAGGTTTGGCTCAAACACGTATATATATATATATATATGGTCACAGAGAGACTATCAACATTGGTGTACATGTATGTCCAGCTGAAAAGTCCAAAATAGGATGAAATATATGTCGTGGATTTAACAACCAACCATTATCCAACTCTACTTATCAAATTTAAGTGTCCTAGCTAAATACACGGATATGATTTCTTATATATTTTGCATTGATTGTCTTTTTTCCTTTCCTATTTTAATTGGAGCACAAGGGATAGAATTTCTGAAAACGTTAATAAACTTCATCAACATCAGGTCACTACTGCTACTACTGTAATGAACGAAGACTCACGAGGGGACAACCAATTTACTACATAAAAAATGAAAACCATATATATATTCAATACTTCATTTGCAAATCTTCTATTAATGATCCTTCACATTCTGTATGATTCGTCCAATTCATAATTCCTTTCTACTTCCCTTCATGTTTTTTTCAACTAGATCCTTCTTAACCTTTTGCTGACATGCATTGCATTTCGGATAAGTGTTACACACTACTTATGTCAATCGACATAAGTAGCATACACCACACTACTTACAAATACTGATCTAGTTCATTAATAATGATTAGTTTAACCATAGCAGATCAAAATAATATCATCAACAACAGCAACAATAGTAATATTCTCTCGGTAACTTACTGAATTCATAGGACATTCATTACGTAACTGATTAATACATAATAAACATTTAATAATTAAATTTGTATAGATTGTTAATGTGGTCTTCATTGAAGTATTTATACTTAGTGTATTTTGTTTTAATTCAATTGTAGATAAATTTGTAATTTGACTAATTGGATTTTTATTTAATAACCAAGCAAATAAAAATATCCATCGAATTGATTCATTTGGACGTTGAATTAAATAACGTGATATATATGCTAGACCAGAAGATTTTCTCGACTAATGAATATTATCGATGATTATTTCAAGTAAAGGAAAGAAAAAAAAATTAATTTCATAAGTATATATTTATTAGATCAATGGATTTATGAGAACTAATTAGTATTAATTCACTTGATATTGTTTTACTTGAACCTTCCCATTGATGTTTTAGGACTGAAATTGATCAGTCTGTTATTGGTATATGTGCATACTGCGCGTATGCCTCGATATTGCCTTAATTCACAAGCATTATAAGCAAAGATGGATAGTGGCTAGCAGTGGAATTCAGGACACGCGTTTCGTCCTTTTTGGGACTCGTCAGCTGGATGTACCTGCATCTCCGAGTTGATGTTCGCTTTGGGACTCGAAGCGAACGGTACTACTGAGTTCGAGTCCCAGAGTGCAGGTACATCCAGCTGACGAGTCCCAAAAGGGACGAAACGCGTGTCCTGAATTCCACTGCTAGCCACTATCCATCTTTGCTTATAATTAGTATTAATATTGGAAACGAATATTTGATACCAAATGCAGGGGAGGGGATGGATGTAAGTGTAAGTAATTGCGCATTACTTGGTTTGAGTTTATGAAATTATTGCAACTAACCATTGAAGACACTGAATAACATAGCCTAGAGGTGTTCACTCTTTGTCTACCCTAGAAATATTGAGTTTTAAGTTTGTCTAATACTTTCATTCTGCTAATGCATTCTTTCTTCTCAAATCGTACTATCTATACTTTATCTATTCTACTACCACTGATACTGTTTACCACTACTACTGTTACTACTCTGAGATTTGTCTTGAGAATTTCATCTTGTTGTGTTGATATATTGTACAGTTCGACAGCCATTGAAGATTATTAAGCAATGGATAACGATATCATCGCAGTATGGAACTCCTCAGTAGTGTGCATATACAAACCCACAACAGATTGAACCCAGGACCTTCAAACTTTTCATTATACGTTTAACTTTCAGATCACTGAAATAGAGTCTTATGACTTGTATTTCTACCATGAAACCATTTTCCAATCCCATTGATGAAGAACAAATGTTTTCTCCTAAGAAAGAAAAAAAAGTTGAATTCCATTTTTGATTTATTGTCTACCAATTTGAGATGGAAAAGAGGAAAACCAAAGAATATATTGTGTCCGAAATTAGAAACAGACATCAAAAGGATGAATAGCATCTGGAAAGGATTGTCCAGGACAGAGTTCAATAAAGAATGCTAGTGCGCGACCTATACTCCTCTGCGAAGGGTAACAGGCGTAAGTAAGTAGTTTGTCTTTATTACATGATAATCTTAGATGGGTTTTGTGGATATTATAGTAATTTCAATGATTACGATCATGAGTCAGTTGAAGCTAGACCACCACGGAAAACCTGGGAGCACTGGAAGGCCATTTCGTCCTATTGTGGGACTACTCAGCAGTGCGCATCCACGACCTCGCTCAATTTCGTGGAATAGTTGAGGTTAGACATTAACACTGTTGGATGCCGGCCAGCTCAGTGGTTAAGTGATCGCGCGCGAAACCAGTAGGTCCTGGGTTCGAATCTCGCGGGGTGCGAGATCGTGGATGCGCATTGCTGAGGAGTCCCACAATAGGACGAGACGGCCGTCCAGTGCTTCCAGGTTTTCCATGGTGGTCTAGCTTCAACTGACTCATGATCTTAATTATTGAAATTACATGATAATCAACAATAAATTGTAACTTATGATAATAAAAAGAAAGAAAGAAAGAAGATAACTAGAATGAATTTAACTTACAGAACATAATGATAAATATGTATTATTCATAATCCAATTATTTAATTCATTTTCAGTTAATTGTCCACCTAATGGTAAATAATTATCACTAAGACGATTAGTAAATAAATCTGGTAAATTTGATAAATTTTCATATTCCATTTGTTTTTTTGATGAAATTTCATAAATTAATTTACATAATGGTGAATTCATTAACCAATCAACATCTTGACCTAAACGTACACCAATTTGACTTAAATTATAAGCTAATGGTAATGAAATATTATAATATTGATCAGTTGATGAACAAGAAGACAATAATGATGATGATGATGATGATATGGATAATTGGGTCTGTTTCATAATCCCGGTTAAATAAGTGTGTAATTTTTGAATTTCTTGTATTGGACCAAAATATGGACAATTGATTAATTTTATAACTAATAATAATAAGAAACCAGCATTTGGTTGAAATTGTAATGCAGATTTAGTAACTAATGATCCTTGATTAACAAGACGTTGAATTTCTTCAGTTAAACCTTTAAAAATAAATAATTAATCAAAAAGAAATAGATAAATATGGACATGTAATCAATCAACAAAGTACAAAACAATGTGATGAGATCAATAGATGGAGAGTAATCATACTAATATTAAGAATAAAATATTTTAACAGTTAAATTCACGAATTGATCTAAGATAGACTACCAGTGAAAACCTAGAAGTACTGGACGGCTGTTTTGTCCTGGTACGGGACTCGAATTCAGGATCTTCAGTCTCGCGCGTGAACGCTTAACCTTTAATCTATCCCAGATCGACTCTTAAATTCAACCGTTAAAATACTACAATCTCAACAAATTCCCGTACTGATAATAACAAGATACAAGAGTTAAATCCACAGATGAATATAGAATAGGAACAAAGTTATTAATCAGTTGTAAATATCTAAATCCTACAGGTTATTCGCCGCTCGAATGGCTTAGTGATAACGTCTCAGTCTCAGAATGAGAAGTTGGGTGACGAGTCTACCAAGAAGTATCAGTTCTCTTGAGATTACAAGTACAATTTGTTGACGTGTGTCAACTGGCACAAAACTTCTTGTCAGCTGTCACTAAACAACAAAAATGTAATGTACACAATGTCATGTCACTTAGACTAGTGACCACACACATAGCAAATTGTTCGATAAGCATTAAACGACGAATATGCTATTACTCACTACTTAATGATAAATTGATTGTGGAAAAGAAACCACTAAAATAACACGAATCGACTCTAAATCAAACGAAAATCAGTGGTAAAATGCATTTTTTTTGCTGTAACAAAAAGCCAACCCGCTAACCACACATAAACAATATCAGAATAGTAGATACAATAAGTTATCATTCAAAACGAACTACTTAATATTAGTAAAGTATAGAATAGGTTTAAAAATAAAGGTTAAGACTGATTTTGACTCATGTCATATAAGATTCCTAACCACAGATTACGATATGAGACCCTGGAGTTTGATTTATGACATATGTATTTGCTTAGCTGTTTCTAGCCTATTGTTGTGTTGACCAGCAAAATGCATCGAGATAGATAGTGACTTAAAACGTGTAATATGTATCTAAATCACAGCATTTTACAAACATTCATAAATTCATTAATCCATTAACTATATCCACCTAGAACTGAACCTCTAACTTTGACATTGTTTGTCCAATGCTTCCAATATACCTTAAAGACACTTTTGGTCAATTACATGTCTTCGACTAGCAAACATCATATCTTACTGGTTTTACTCGTCTTTCGATAAGTGGATGAACATTTGTTCTGCATCATTAGTAATAAATGTTGTTACCCACCATCAACATGTTTAAAAAACATAATTAATTACATTCAGCCAATTATTAATCCGCTAGGGTTAGTGAAAAGCTAAAGATTATTAAAGGGATTTGTGAAATATGAACTAGTTTACTCACAAAGGCCAAACTAGGAATTGGCATAGATCAGTTTCGAAATATAATTTTGGTTTTAGACGGAGATAAAAAGAAAAGCATTTTTGTATAGTTCAACAACTGTGTTACTTATCGATGGTCCCATGATATACGAGCAATGTTTCGAAGACACCTATGATCAAATACTAGTAGCCTACGGATATCCTCTACTCTTACCGGCCATGTTTCACTGCCATAAAGTAGGACGGAACGAACTGCTGCACAGTAAACACGTCCTTTGGTTGATAGACGGATATCTCGCCTACGCCATAAATGACGCAAGTTGGCAAAAGCTAGTCGAGCCTTCTGTATCCGTGCTGAGATTTCGTCACACACCAGACCACAAGGGCTGATCAGACTTCCAAGATAAGTGAAGCGGTCGACACACTCAACTACTTCACTCCCTATCACTAGTTCGGGTGTCGATGTAACCCAATCCTGAAGCAACATTTTGCATTTCGAGGGAGAGAATCTCATCCCGAACATGCTTGCATTGTTGCTTAGAGTGGTCAGAAGACTCTGCATTTTGTCAGCGTCTTCACCAAATAAAACTATGTCATCAGCATATTCTAAGTCAACAAGTGAACCTCCCGGTAGAAGTTCAACCCCTGGAAATCTAGATGAGGAAAGTGTTATCTCTAGAAGTACATCAAAGATTTAAAAATCAAATAAAAACAGAGAAGATGGACAACACTGAATGTAACTAATTTAAATAATAGTGTGTCATAAGTATATACCTCAGCAGTAAGTGTTTGAGTAAAAGATATTCAGTAGATTGATGTAGTTTTACAACAACACATCTTTCAATCTCAGTTACTGTCAAAAGAATCCTCGATCAACAAAGTCAATCGCTACACCTTCACAATAAGAGTAATGGTTAAAATAGGAAAACGACAAACTATGTCTGTTCAAAAATCAGTCAAATAGTATAGATAAAGATTGAGTAATTACACTAAAGGACTTGAATAAAACTGAGCTAGAGGTTTCTCAGACTTATTACTTCCAAGCCACATTAAGTGTCGGATATATGAAGGAAGCTAATATCTTCAAAATTACATTAATCCACCTGATTCCTCTGTGTTGTATACCACACTTCACTAGTAAAAGAACAAACTACAAGCAACAGAAGTTTTGGATAGTTGTATATCATTATAATCATGAACCGATCTAAGTTACGAAATCACTGGAAACCTGGAAATATCGAATGACCATTTCATCCTATTACAGAACTATTGAGCAACGCGTATACCCGACAACAAACGTGGGAAACGAACCCAGGACACTCAGTCTCGTGAGTGCTTAATCCCTGGACCAATGAACAGGCATACAACGGTGTTAATGTCTAACTTCAACCAATCCACGATATTATGGGACCATCTTCCGTCATCTCTTATGAGTAACTGCCTCACACCGTTGGATGTCAGACCAATGGTCTAGAGGTTAAACATTCGCATGCGAGACCGAAAATGTTTGGTTCGATTGCCGATTGTGGGGTCATGGATGTGTACTGTTGAAGAGTCCTATACTATGACGAAATGGTTATCCAATGCTCCCAGGTGAGACCTAGATCCGTTCATGATTTTGATGAAGTCTAACAATCTACACAACCCCATACTGACACTGTGTATCAATGTAAGTTTAAAAAATGAATTCAAGTTTGAGAAACAACAAGAAAAATCATTTTAGAATATTGAAAACACACAAACAAATAATAAACAAATGTCTCACATATTAGTGATAAATTTTCTTGTGGTGGATTATCTGGATGCATTGTAAATATAATGCCTTTAGCGCATGCCTCAGCTAAACTATGACAAAATGTAGAATTTGGATTTTTAGTTAAATTAAGAAGTTGATCAGCAGTTTTCCAATCAGGTGATCCACTAAAATGAAACAAAAAGTATGTTTTATTCCAAAAAACTGAAAGATTATGACTAGACAATAGAATCTAGAATGTGTGTTTTATTCTATCTGAAACTCAATCAGCCGAATGTACCTAAATTCCAGTGTACTGATGTTTAATATTGAAACTTGAGAACCGTGTACTTTTCGCTTGAAACGACCCACAACGTGTTATCCCTTGAAATATTGAAGTCTAAATAATCTCTAATGTGTTTAATATATGTAATGTTTCTATCACATTTGATAAAAGTTTAAATTACCTCAGTGTTGACATTCAACATTGAATTGTGATCAATATTTATTGGTAATATGTGCACAACAGTACAAACAATAATCAAAACTATATGGAGGATCCAACTAGGGGATTTGGAAAACACTGATTTTAAACCAGTGGTGTACATGGGCTCCGGGATCCTGAAGGAAAAAATGGTGTATGAATCAATTATCGGTCACCAGCTACCATGGGATTGCATCTCCGTAAGTTACTCCACTGTCTTGTGGATCAGACTTTTTGGTCGAAGGTTTCGGGTATGGCCCTCTTAGAAAACCACCTGCTTTGGTCTGGACACTCGGGTAGTGACACAGCCCACTCATAAATCAGGTGAATGTATTCGGTACCCCTTTTAACCGATATTTATGTGTTCAAATAAAATAAAAACAGAAACGTACTTGTTGTTTTATCGACAAAAAAATGAAAGTTAGTGTAAATAAATTTCAGCTACTTAAAAGAAATAAGTAGTAAAAACATCATAAAAATGTAGTAGTCTTTCAAAAAAAATTACATACGAAAAATTAAAAGACAAACTTTTTAAAAAGACACTCATTAGATTAGAATATAAAAACTCCCTCAAGAAAGTGAAAATAAAACCCCCCAAAACTATATATATATATATCAATACTCAAACATTTTTTTGTATTGGTAAAATAGAAGGGTTATTACACGCAATACTCAGGGAAACTACTACAATGTGAGATAAATAAATAAATATATAAACTGACTGGTTCACTCAGAATATGTGGTTGAGATTGATGTTTTATTTCCAATTCGATTATACTTAAATGTTAAAACGTCACTATGTGCTTTCATAATGCTCAACTTTTGGATTTCTAAAAGAAGTAAACTTTGAATGTTGAAAAGAAACAAGAGCGAGATTTTATAAATTTATGAACGGACCAATAAGATTAAAGATAGCAAGTGTCTTGGATTTTGGTGTGAAATTAATTTATCCATATAGTTCAATAGCATTTTGGCATTATAGTGGATGTCAGTTCGTAATAAAAATCCTTACTTTAATTACTAATCTTAATCCTAATTCCTCATACTAATTTATAACCATCTTTTGATATTTGTAAGCAGGTGAATTTTCTCAAGATCAACTTGGACATCGCTTAAAGGTTGTTCATAAACTATAATCTCATTGAAACAAGTATCTATCTTTTATTTCCTCAATTATTTTCATAATTCAATTTACATTTGATTACATTGAATATTTCGGTTATGTTCTTATGGCATGTCAATATATCACATAAATAAATTGCCAATCAGAACACCGACATATACGGCTTTAAACCTTTGATAAACCAATAACGCATTAACCAACACGAACAATCTAGAGTCAACTCTCAGTCCTTATTAGTTCCTCTTACTTTGCTCTGCCCGTTGTGTCCAGAACACAATCTCAGCTTCCACTGTATGAACTAAGTATTTTAGACATACTCAGTTTATGTACAAATAGACCAGACCACAACATACCATGAAATGCAAAATAATGTTTGTACAAAATCGAGTCAAAAGTGGTTGTGAGTATAAAATACCATAACTAATAAATCGGGAATAACTTAAGAATATTAAATCGTATAATAATAGTCAATAGGTCAAATGAAAGCTTAAGATAAAAGGAATACGAATATATATATACAATCTAGTTACTTAATAACTATCCGATAAAAATGGTTGAATAATAATCTATAGATAATCCCTAGCAGTTACCATTAATTTATTCTTCGTTAGCATAGAACAACTTTTTTATTTATTTTGACCTGTATTATCATTCTCGAACTTTATATCTTGAAAGATAGTAAGTAATATGAAACATTTTATTTATGCTGTATTCTAAACAAGTATTTCACATTACACCAGTTTTCTAAATAGATCAATCGGTTTTCAGTTTGTAGGAATGCTAAGACTCTATCTTCGATCATAATCAACGTAGAGTCTGAGTACAAATGTACAATAGAGCAAGTTATCATTACACATCAGATGAATAAAAAAGGAATGTAAATAATTGTAATAGAAATGAGATACTGAAAAGGACTAGACAATGAGAATCAAGTTCAAGAAAAAGCAATGTAAAAGTATGTATGAAGAAATACTATCACTTAGCGTACATAGAGCAAAACGCAGAGTGAGTGCATCTTTATCGTTATGATCACTTTCAAACTATATCGTCCGTCTAACATCTCCGACCAATGATCATGATTATCACTCAAATCAGATAATTTACAACTAACAACATGACTCAGACTAATAGTCAACGACTATACGGACTAATGTTGTGTCTCTTCAATTCGACCACCTCTAGCTTTCTTACGACTGACTTTTACATTACACGTCAATGAATGTGGTAGTTAACGATGGATATTAGCTGTGACTGAATAATCACTTTGTTTAGATTGAAATTTCGTTATGTATACATAAGAAAGACACACACATAGAGCAAAATACTTAGTAAATTTCGAATCAACTGATGAAAATAACAGCAACAAATATTGCACTCACCAAATATATGTAATAAGAAAATAATGAGATAATACAAGACTGAAAAATGCCAATTCATTCGGATTATCACGATATGATAACTGATTTTGTTTATTCAATAACATAACAGCTCTAAAACACAGAAGATAAAACATAAAAAAAATTTAAAAAATACATATGAAGCATGGTTATCTCTAGTTTTGTCATAGAATGAGTTCAATTAAATGAAAAGAATGAAGTTGATTGGTAACAAGGTGATTTTGAAAGCATGTGTGACCGGTTATCACTTCCTAGTTGTCTATATTACTCAAGGATACTACTTCTTGAGGAGTCTAAAAAGAAAACTAGATTATTAGTGGTCTTAGCGACCTAGAGGCACTAATATGAAGCCCAAGAAACACCTGATTGACGCCTGTTGCTTGGTGATCTAAAAGTTAAGCATCCGCTTGCGATACCAAAGATACTGGGTTCGAATGCTTGTGATTGAGTCGTGAATACGTACTACTGAGGAGGAGTCTCATACTAGAACGAAATGGCTATCCAATGCTACCAGGTTTTGATTGGTAGTCCAGCGAATATCAGTTCGTAATTTAAACTATACAGATCCTAGAAACTCCGCAAATTGTGATACGTTAAGATGTTATGTACTTTTTTATCTAAATAGTTCGTTATGTGTTTAAAGTTAATTTTAAAAAGAGTACTTCTGACCCCACATTCATCTAGCTCTCTGAGTTTTAGGAACATTGTAAAATTGACTGACCTATTCCCTAATCGCATAATAAAGACACTGATTGAGTAGGTGAATTATTTACTATAGTGGGTGTGAATAGGTCTAGAGGAAAGAGTATAACTATTGAAAATATTTATAGCTCAAAAGAAGGTTTTTGAATGTGTTGTATTCTCCTCTGAAATGGATGGTTTGGTCGTAAACTTTTATATTTCTCCCTAAAGCAACATTATCAGCATATACAATTTCACAAAAGAAGTGAACGAATAAAATTTCTTCACAATCGACTAATTGACTTGTTAATACGTTCATTTGATTAATTATTGTTCATAGTTGTGTGCGTGACCATTATCTACGTGTTTAGTTGGTGTTATTATTGTGGTTTACAGTTTCATGGGATTCAAACTCTTATCATTCTTTAGTACAGTAATCGATAATAATGATGATGGAAACGCAGCTGACCAACTGTAAGAGAATCAAATCTATGTGCAGTAAACAAAATAATTCATTACTTATTAATTAACTTATGTTACAACATCCTTATTCAATAACAGTATAACATCGACTTCATTCCAGTGTTTGTGTGTGATTTTCTTGAATAAACTTACTCTTCACTACGGATTCATTACAAGTAGAATAGATGTTAGTGAGAATTTTTACATAAGAATTATTATAATGCAAGAAATACATCTATCTTACTTTTGAAGACAATGTTTCGCGGGCACAGAATATCCCACTAATTGGAGTAATATACCCCGATTATGCCATAATCGTATATTATTAGGCTGGAAAGCTAAACAATAAATTGGTAATGAGAAAATTAGAATTATTCCATTCAAATCCATAGTTTTAACTTCACATTTAAAAGTCCACTTCATGCCAATAACAAAAATGAGTTATAGTGAGAATCTGTGATTGGTGGGGTTTAATCGTGTGAAATGTGAAGTAGTTGGTCATCCAGACCATAGTGCTCCAATATCACAACTCAATTGAATTTAAAGATACGAACCTTTGTATGATGGTTTAGTGGTGGTGCTTAAACGTTAAGTGTTCGTTCATCATGAGATTTGAAGGTCCCAGGTTCGACCCTTAGTGTCGAGGTCGTGAATGTACACTACTATTGAAAAAACCTATACTAGAACGATACATTTATTCAGTGCCTCCTTGTTTTCAACAACTGTTTAACCAAAGTCAGTACGTGATATGAAAATACAAAATTCAACAATTTTCACAAGCTCTCTATGAAATTCGAAAATTGTTTTAATCTTACAAATCTTACCCTACACTAAAAGCAAATAATACATAGTGTGATAATCACAGATACAAATAATGAATTTATTAATTCCACTATAATCGTAAATCACAAAACGAAATAAAATCAGTGATAAACTTGAAAAGTGATGTATTCTTAACCCCTTACGTAATATGTGATAATCAGACGTCAGGCTTTATTACTCAAGAGCTTATAATATTTATTAGTCAATTATTGACTAACATATACATTCATTTTGCTTCACATCTTACAGATATAATTCGTAGGATAGTTGATGTAGATTAATTCAATTTAAAGCTAATTAATTAAGTGGTAGTGTCTCAGACTGTGAAACTGCGTAACACGGGTTCAAATCCCGTAGGGAACATCAGTACCCACCAGGATAATAAATACTACTCTCTGACAAATACCAACTACCATGAAGCTCAAGTCCAAGGTTTCCTGCTGACTACCACCTCCAATAGCCTTAACATTAAAAAATAGTGAATACTATATCAAGTCACTTGGACTAGTGAACGCATTACAACTTCATCGATAGAATCCGACTAGCACTAAGAAAGACATGACGTTGATCACTACTACTCAGTGACAGAACAGTTTTATTCATACATCTTAATGTCAGTAAATATACATTCTAATTCTTTCTTTCCCTAAACCATACTATATGTTAGGTATGATGTTGGGGGGTGGGTTGGCTTTATTTTATGTTATATATTATAGTAAATACAAGCCATACGCTTTGTACTCACAACACTAGTTTTGACTATGCCCTATTTCAAAACAATACCAAAATACATCAGAATTAATGTATGTAAGGTAAAACGCAAATGCGCAAAAATAATATACATATGTATGATGAGATTAAAAAAGGGTATATGAAAACAAAATGGTAAAACTGGCCTTAAACCTGGCAACAAAAATAAGTGTCCTGTAATCAGTGTGTTATAATGATATCTTTTAATACTCCTTATTTTTGACTTTGTAATTGTAGATTAAAGTAAAACTTCTATTCTCTGCAAATATATAGTAGTTGTTACGGTGAATCGATCAGATATATTAGTTCAGAGTCGAACTATAAGTTAGAGATAATGACAAGTGCACGGCATTGGTTAAAAATCCGACTTACTTTTCTAAGGGATACAATCTATACTAAGGGATGAGTTTATACAAACATTCATCTCGTCTATTCAATAAAATCTTCCCTACTCACTCAAATGACTAATTAGACTGACGTGTAAGAACTGTATATATATCGGTATTAGACTCGGAAAATCCGCCCAACAAAACAGTATCAAATGTAATAATTATTATTATCTGATTATATGTCGATATCATTATAGAATAAGTAGTATGATACAAGTAATAATTAAACTAACCGATAGCCCGATTTAAGCATTCTATAGCCACATTGATAGATAGGCGTAGATGTGCTCGTTTATCGAAAACTTGAATTAATTCTGACATACTTTTTGATGGACAAGATGACGCTGATGGATCACAAAGGAAATTACATCCAGCATATTCAATAATTATAGGCATCAGATGCAGTGTAAGCTGTGACGCTACTTGGTACTAAAATAAGAGGAAGTGAAAGTAAATGATGAGTAAAAACAAGAAAAACCTCTATAGTATTAAAAATGGAGTTTGATAATTAGTATTATTGAAAAAAATTATATCGAGATTGTTTTTGACATGAAGTAAACAAACAAATTGAGAATGAAGTGGAGATTCGGAAAACTGTTTTTATCGTAGTTTAATACTACTACTCAATATCGCCCACGCATGACCCAGCCAAAGAAAATCCTTAAAATTATTTTGATAATTTTTGTGTTACTATAAGATAAAATCAACTGGAGTGATAAATATACACTAGCAACTAATAGCTTTGAGAATTTTGCATAGTTTTAGAGAGTAGTTACGATCGACAAAAGATTACTCTTGTTAAAGAAAATGATATAGATAGTGAATATTGATGGCAATGAGTGATTGTAGTTGCATTAATATGCCGAAACGATTGTAGTTGGAAATGTGGTGAGGAGATTCCTACTCAGTGGTATGAAGGTATTGTGCTTATTATCACCGCACGACTTTCGGATCTAACGGTTCGACTCTGTATGAGGTCATGTATGCGAATAGATTGTAGGAAAGGAAATCCTTAAACTTGAGAGAGACATCACATCTAGCCAACACTGGTTGTTTCTCTAGGTGGTGTCAGCTTGTATATATATATAACAAGAAGCATCGTCCTGTTGAACTTATCTCTATAATAGTAATCTATTCAAATAAGCTACAAAATATTGGAGTGTAATCTCAAAGTATCTTTCAAAACTATGTATTATTTACAGATAAAAAGCAGTTGTTCAGCACAAAAAGAATAAAAGACATATCCAACGAATCTAACATTATTTAAGACAACTATGAAAATAATCTCAGCAATGTATGAAGGTTTTGATATTATTCCAGATTCATTGAACAGAGACCATCAGTAAAGTAATTGAAAGTGACAGAGAACAAATCAGCTAATAATAGAGGAGAAAATCAGGAAATGACAATGGAGGTGGATAGGATACATTTTACGGAAACAATTAAAATGAGCTACAAAACAAGTCCTAATCTGATATAATCAAGGCAAAAGGAAAGAAGGCAGATAAAGAACATATGTAAATTTTCGTAATTTCTCGTTGCTAATATTTAGGCCATAAATTAATTGGTCAGTCTCTTCTGGTATACATGCATCTTGACCAGATGCCTTAAATACATTTAAAAGAAAACAACGAATAACTTTATACTCCGTTGGACAAAGCAGTGACTGACTTAATCAACTCAATAGCTCAATGGGTAACACACAATGGCATTTTAAGAGATAAATATTGGGTTCCAGTTTCCAAGTGAACACATCAACTGAAGAGTCTTCAAAAATGACGAAACATATGTACTAAATTCAACTATAAGTCACAATTTTGAAATATATAGAATGTTTGTAAAAATAAAACACTAAATTAAACACACATTTGAACCTGTATACGCAGCATGTATCAAATGACTCAATACTTCCGTATTGACTAATAAACCAGGACCAATCGACGGAGTACCAGACATGACAGCAGTCAATTGAGCTGAAACAAGCCAAACTCTAAAATTATCTGGATCAATCGCTTTAGCTTGTTCTACCAAATTAACTGCAAGCTTAAAATAAAGAAAAAAACTACATGAACTGAATGAAAATAATAATTTTGACAAGTTGTACAATGTATGAATGCATACACACGTACCCACATATATTACTCTACGAAACAGGTTACTATTATTTGGTCATAGACGGATTCATATAGACTGGAGACCATCGAGTGAGCGATGTTGAGGTTAGATGAAGAGTACAACTATAGTGATGTTGGTTGATATGTCTCAAAATTCCTTACAATGACGTAAATGAACATTTACTTTTTTTTCCTTAGGTCGCAAATTGAAAAACTATTTTAGGCCTTTTTTCCTAGTATATTGCATTTGGTTGTATATGGTCGCTATTTTCTACTATTCTAGTATTTGTCTCTAGAACTTCATTTCTCTATGCTGATATAGTGAAGTAACTTGAATTGATGGATATTTTTGTGCTAGCTCTATATAGATTATGAATAACCAACTACTCATGGAAAATAAGATTAAATGTGTACATATTAATACTAGGAAGAGCGTAATATTGATAATACTATTAATTATCAAAATGAGTCAAATTCATTTACAAACCGTTTTACATTCTTTTAATTAAATGATTCCTAATGCATGTAACCGATGAAAGCATGTTGTGATTGGCCCAGTGAACTAACACGAACAAGATCTCTTTGTAATTTTAGTGGATGCAACTCATAAGGATATTTGTAAGTAATGTAGGGGAACGTGGTGTCGTAATTGAAAAAAAAATTATCGGACGGAGTAAAGTTTTGCTGCATTGAAAGTACGGAGTTGACAGAACACTAAGAGACCAAACGAGAAGACATTTCAGATGGTAGAACACATGGAGATGCAAATGGACGATTGAAGGCTATGCATATGTATTATGTAAATACTCTGTAACATCTCGCGATAATGGGTAGACAAATTATTCGTATATATACATTTGTGTTCCTGACACAAATGAGATGTAAGGTGAAATATTGAGTAGGGGCATGATCAGCTTCATCTGATAGCATCACACCTAGTGCTTGATCTTCAGGCAGTAATATAATCATAGAGACGCGGTATACCTAGAGACTCTCTTAACCTATCCGATGGTCGACGAATCCAGTTTTCGACCAGTTATTGGCCGTAGGATTGAATCCTTCCCCACTTAATTCAGTTTGAGTAGCTAAAAAGTATTATTATTCATCATATACAAATAAAAAGTACACGTCGAAACCAAGTACCACAAAGCTGTACTCAATAAATATACGATATTATATTAGCCGAATCAATGACTTATTCACCAGGGGTGGTACAGATTCGAGTACTTGAATTTGAGTTGCACTTTAGGTGTGAGGGTCTGATAATACTAATCCGGTTTTCCAGACCGAAATAGCAGAAGCAGAGGATTTAAAAAAAAACGAGTTAGTGGCTAAAAGTTGAACTTCTGAATAAATGTTTACATAGTAGACAAAATATATTTGATATTCAACACAAACCGGAAGAAAACGGACAGAAGGAATTTCAAAAAATCACAATTCCATATTTGGGAAAAGTGAATGTGAGTATAAAATAGATTCAAATTTACAGAAAAAGAAAATTACTTCAGTTTGACCCTGTTTCATTTGTTGCATTGCCAAATTAACCATGACGGTGGTATTCTATAAGGAGATAAAAGTATAAATACATACATAAATCATAATATTACTGAACGAAGAATTTGTTGATCAGTAATTTATTCTCAATATTGTTGTACGAATTAAAATAGATATATAAATTGTTTGTGCTAGAGCTGTTTATTTTTTATTCAGACCTTATTCTTATCAATCGTATAAGTCAAAATGAACTCAATAGGAGAGAATGATTGGATGAATAATAACGTAGAGTTCAGAATTAGTAAGACAGAGGTTGTTACGAGCATAGAATAACATTGCACTTTAAGTATAGCAATCAAGATTAGACTTGATAATTTCAAATAAATTGACCAATGAGCAGATTATTTACAGTTTATTATCTACTCAAGAAATATAGGGTTTTGTTGAGATCCTAAAATTTTCGCTTTTTTTTTAATCACGAATTGATCTCAGCTAGACCATGATTGAGAAAATGGCAGCACTAGGCGACTATCTCGCCCTAGTATGGAACTCCTCAGTAGTGCAAATACATGACCTCTAACAGCACTCAAGACATGACCCCGACACATGGAATTGAATCCAGGAGCTTCAAGGTCGCAAGTGAACTCTTAACCTATAGACCACTAAGATGACATTTGACGGTATTGATTTCAAACTTCAATCAATTCCCGATATTGCAAGAGTGAGAGATAGTTATTCGCCACAGGTAATGAAAGATCGTCACCTAATACCAGGGTCATGGATGCGCACTAATGAGGAGGAGTCCCATACTAACACGAAACGGCCTTCTAGTACTTTCCGGTTCTCAATGATATTCCAGTTAAGATCAGTTCATGAATTGAAAAAAATATAGTATTAGTTCTATTATTATAACAGGACGAAAAATTATTTATGGAATTACTATTTTGTATACCTAATACCGACTAAACGCCGATAACAATACGTTTTCTCAAGTAGTCCTGAACCTCAGGTTTGACGACTTTGAACATCGTCAAAAAGGTAGAACGATTGATACTTCATTAATAAACCTTTTTTCTACAAATGAAGACTCAGAAGCCGATTGAATGAAGATCTTAAAGAGAAAGAAAGGAATATATGAAATTTAACCTGAAGTGGGGATATTATAATTACTGATATGTTGAAAACATGACATGACATGCTAATTTACTGACTGGCATGAAATTGTATCCTCAAAGTTTGAGTTACACTTTACCTGTAAGGACTGGTAATATTAATTCATGACAGGAAATTTACTTTCAATCACAATTTCTACACAACTTCCCCATCTTCATTTCCTTACAATACTCATGGTAACCATAAAAAGAGCATATTAAAAACATACTAAGAATTGAAACATACATCAGGATTATAAAGTAATGCTTGGCAAAGACAATAGGTGATTTCTGAATCCAAGTTTTCTAGAATTGTAAAACAATAAACAAGAAAGTTATAGTATTAATGTACAATAGTAATCATACTCAATAATAATAAACTTTCACAAGAATGGCTAACGTATTGGGTTTTCCGGTTAGCATACGGCAAGTTCTAATATAACACAATAAATAAGAACTCGAACAAACTCAATATCTGTCACATAACAATACTTGAACTTCAATATAGTGATAAAGAAGACAGGATTTTCAGAGTAGCTTTATATTCCATACAGAAGTGAAAAAAACATCCTATGATCTCAGGGCACACAAATTATCTAACAACCTAAAACCGATAACGACCAATCAGGTAACTGTTATTCAAGTGAATAGCTATCTGCATTCACAAGCTAAGTGGATTATCTGATGGTGTTTGAAGTGAACAGTACTGGTTTTTAGTCCCGAATTGAACATCAACTTTAAGACGCAGGTACATCCATCTAACGAGTCATGAATGGGAGAAAACGCACATCCTGTAGATCTCACTGTTAGCCAGATTCCACCTATTCAGTTTTAAATAATAGTATGGTTATATTGATTTGACTGGCAGAAATAAATTATACATGTAACAGACTAACATCTCCAATCTCATCGTAACAGGATTATTGAAGTAACAATATAATCCAATAAAAAAATATCAACCTAAACAGAAACAATTTTCCTTTTTGAATAGTAGTATATAGAGTTAACTTGGGGTAATTCAAACAGATTCAGAAAGAAAAGAAAGAAAATATTACAATTATTATTCAAAGAAAATTTACCATCACTTGTTGAATAAACACCAGCTAATGCAGCCCATGCACGTGATTGAAGTTTTTTAATTAAAGCAATACGATCACGTATATCTTGTTCCTCAATTTCATCATCAGTTGTTATTGTACCTGGTTCAAGTAAACTTTTCTCTTTTATTATTTCTTCTAATAATTCATCATAGATATTCGATAAATTCTCTAATAATTGTAATGCATTTTTTAAAGTTGATTCAGATAAATAAAACAATTCATTTGGTATTATAATGAAATTGAATGGTTTAATAATATGATCCAATTGATTTGCTGTCATTAATGATTCCTGTGAAATATTATTACGTTGTATATAATAACCTTGATTAAGTTGATTAATACCTAAACTAACTAATATAGAACTTATTAATAATAACTTCAATGGATCCGTTGTAGTAGTTGCCGTAGTAGTAGTAGTATTGGTACTCGATTCCGTATTCTTATTGCTAGAGAGTACATTTGGATCTAATGAATGTGATGGATATCGAACTGAACTGATAGATGTACGAAGAGCACAAGCTAAATAACTGAAATAATAACCATACAAAATAGTAAAAGAAAATTTTAAGGGTTTGAGAAGACTTAAAATTCAAGATTTATATCACCGACAGATTTTAGTTGAACAATCATTAAAAACCAGGAATTACTTGATATTTTTCCTGTTCTAGTACGCGGCTCCTTAATGGTACTTGCCCATAACCCTATCAAAAGTCAAACTCAACACTGTAAGCGCTCACAGCGAACAGTGGACCCTAAGACTATTAAGCTGGTATATAATGGTCAAACATTTCTAACTTTAATTAATTCTCAACATGGTGTAACCAATATCCAATGTCACTAGTGGGTTTAACATTCGATATGGATGAACTCCAGTGATCATGGTTTTTCACTAGAATTCCGGGATTAACTTATACAAATTAGTAAGACACGTAAACCATTGGATCCTAACTCAATGGTTTAAAGGTTAAACGTAGGTCACGGGGACTGAGTTCAATCACTAGTGGAGATGTGGATGTGCACTAGTGAAGAGTCTCGCACTAGGGGGAAAAACTGTACAGTATTTCCTGGTTTTCAGTAATTTTCTAAAACCAGCCAGTGATTTGCCTTATAGAGATAATTAGTAGTAGAGAAAAATATCAAAAATGTTAATTTGGCGATAAAATTGATTTCTTTAGCTGAGCATTTCAGCCTGACAGTGATCAAGTTGATTAAGATTAGGAGAGAAGTGAATTATCTAAAAGAAAAACTCTCAATCTTGGTTATCAATTTACGTGGAGACACTAATATTAAAACACTGTATTTGAGAAGCTCTTGGTTTGACGAAAAAATACCATAACACTAGGTGTAATTTAGTTGGGAAAGTCAGAAAACCTCACATTGAAACATGCAATTCGCCACACACTATTAACAGTTTTAGGAAAGTCACTGTCACAAAAGATGTATATTAGGCATTATAAATAGTGTAAACTCAGCAATCAAATGCATGCTTATGTATTCGGTTTTAAGTCAAACATTTTGTGTGTGGGAAAGAGAGTTATTAATAATCACCTATGGTAATCTGAACGGAAGAAATGAAGAGTGAATTGTACCGATAACCTAATATTTAAAGGTCAAGCGCTTGAAACACCACGACCTACGCTTTATATGGATCGTTGAAGCCCATGCAGATATCTATCCAAGTAATTAGAAAAATATATTTACTACCCGACATCTAAACTCTAGTGAATAGTAATTTGACTTAGCAATTATAATAGTTAATAAGTTCCCAACTCAACTATTGACATCCCAAGAAATAAATGAAAATTATTTACTCCTTACTACTCATACTAATAATAGTAGTAATAATAATTAGAAAGAAAACATTCAAACATACATCCCACCAAGGTGAAGGCATGTGACGATATTGACTTTAATCGTTTCCGTAGGCTCTTTCGATTCAGTTAGACACTGAGCACCATTCATTAAAGAAACTAAACGTGTCGGAACATCGATTCTATACATCAAAATAATAACAGTAAATCAAAATATGAGTGAAAGAACAATTATAAATAAAGTAAGAAACAGTAATGACATAAAATAAAGAGCTAAGTGGATTAACGAATGTTAGGTGTTTGAATTGAAATGTATTCGGCTTAAGTCCCTGTGTGAACATCAACAATGGGATATGGCAAGTACATTCAGCTGACGAGGACTAAATAGAATGAAACTGATATCCTGTAGGTTACAATGCTGGCTATATTCTATCTATTCTCTAAAAAATTTGTGACATAATGGCTACATAGAGGTGATCGAGATCCACACAGAATGTATATATGCAAACTAAGACTGATCGAAATTTAGTCAAGAATATCAGCAACGAGATAATTCAAACCACTACAAGTTAATTTAGAAACTAAACATAGTTTGTTTAAAAGAGCAATATAGTAATATTTTCATTTATGTTCATATAGCACCAGACAACCATGGACATACGTTCAATTGGAAAAATGTTAAAATCATGGACAGAATCTTCACAAAAAAACCAAAGAATTTCCGGTAGTACAGTGCTAAGATTAGCCGATGACTAAATAAACATAATCTATCAACTAACTACAATAATCAAATCGAAGAAGACAACATTAAAAATAAATGTGTAGACAATGAAATGACAAGTATCAACAATAATTAACCGCATTCAAGGTTGACAGAATAAGCTGCTCGTTATATGTCGGGAAATCCTTTCATATCACCTTCTCTATCTGAAGTTTGTCTTGGCGATATTGTCATTTAGAAAGACTAATCGGACTAAACATCTCAGAGAAAGCAATCTTAACAAAATATCATCACAATCAATGAAACTGAACTTCTGAGCATAAGAACTACATTTTTATCATCGTATAAAAACCCAATACTGTCGATCTACAACAATCAGCTCACATAAAGAACAAGTTTTTTTCCTGGTCTTGTACTACAACTTGAATGCACAACATGCGTTTCATCCTATTTGGAAGATACTGGTCAGTTGGATGTATCTGTATTTTAGTGTTGATAATATTCTCACACTGGTATACGGATAATATAAGTATTGTTTGAACAAAATATCAACGCATTATCACCCATTAAACTGTTTAGTCACGTTATTTACCAACGTGTTTTTTATTATTTTAACACATAGATATTGGTACAAGGAGGCACCAAATACATATGCGCCACACAAATCTCATTCGATATGTGTGAGGACTGGGATACTGCTCGGGTGCCCAGACCGAAGTAGGTGACTTTCTTAGGGGGCCACACCCCGAGCCTTCGACCTGAAGGTCAGATCCACAAGGCAGTGGAGCATCGTAAGGAGATGCAGTTCCATGGAAGCCGGTGACTAACAATTGGTTCATACGCCATTTGTTCCTTCAGGATCTTGGAGCCCATGTGCACCATTGGTTTAGAATCCGTTTAAAGCGCTGGACATTCGCTTTTCGACCTCCCATTTTCGTAAACAACACACCCCGCCACGAGAAGGCAATGAGTAGGACTTCCCTGGCAGAGGCTATATACGCGTGGCCATGTGAGAGCATTTCGAGAGGGAGAGCGGACTCTCCCCACTCTCGACCGTACCAGGGCATATATTTTTTTTTCATTCTACTACTTGTAAAGATTTTAATTTGCTCTTTTTTGATATTCCAGGTCAAAATAAATCTTCTATACACAATTCGTCAAGACAACTTTTAGTGATATCAAACTAATTTAATTTAAACCGATAAATATCATAAACACAATACCATCATTTTAAGAAAATATTGAAGATTGAATGTGAGATACTATTCATGAAATCAGAACATTTCTGAAATATTATAGCTGATTAAGATTCTGAAATACTGACGATGCATATAAAAACTAGAGTGATTAGTTTAACCGCTTAGACTGATTATAAAGAGTGAAGTAGCTCAGTGAACTGATAAATTCATTCCAATTGGAAATCACATCAACCCTGATAGGTTGGTGTTTGATGAAATTTCAGCTAATATATTTAGAAGTTTGGCTTGGCTTATGCCAACTGACAGTACTTGTAGCGTAAGCAAGATATCCGTCTGATATTAAAGGGGTGAGTATATTGCTTAATAGCTTTGTTCGGTTTTGCTTTATGACTGTGGGACGTAGTTTATAAAAATAGAAGACACTCTTATGTCGCAGTTTTTTGGTTATAGGTTTCTTCGATTAACTGCTCTTCTAGCTTCGGACTATTAAATGAGATACAGGGTACTAGGAGAAGATAAGAAATCGATTGTTGATGAAACTATGAGTTTTTATCGACTGAAGTGTTTGGATATGTACTGTGTATGTCCAATAATCGCTTACCTATCTAGACATGTGGTGTTATCAGCTGTAAAAGTAGGTTTGAAGAAGGCTGAGAAAGTCAATCCGAAATATGACATCAGCCTATGAAGTCAATGTCCGTTGGTCTGAGGAATGTTAATAAATGCAAATTTTTGAGCTAACATATTTTACAATCAAGCACAATGGCCCAGATTCATCCACTCTTTTACCTGCCCTTAGATCTTGAGTTAAAAAATTATTTAATACATTTTAATTCGTAAATTAATTCTTTCATCTGTAATAGTATTTTCTTTGGATAACATTAATTTCACTATCACTAAAACAACTAATACTAATCTTAATAGTTCTATCTAGTCTTGCTGATGTGGTACAACAATGCAGATGGATGGATATATGTTTAAGATTTCATGTTGTTTACGACTGATTAAAATAATGTAAAATCAATTAAGAAAGATATATTATTCATCACAGTACAACATTTTGAAATAAGGAGACTAAAATAGAATGATAAATTTATGAATATAACAATAACAAGTGACCAACCATTCCCTAAATATCTATTTATTAAACTTCAAGAATCCGTATAGCATATATTCAGTATTACGCGGGTCACTAATTTGAACCATAACAACGAAAAAAGAACACATTTACAATAACAAACGAGGAAAAAAAACAAAAAAGAAATTGACAACTTACAATAGTTCAGGATCATCAATCATAGACAATAGGCTAAGAATATCACCTGTATATCGGAAAAACCAGAATGGTACAACTTTAGAACCGACAAAATAATTCAATAACCTGAAAAGGTAACCAGTAGAAACAAATTATCATACAGTTTTTTTCTGTTTTATTATTGTGCATGGACATCTTTAAATGTCAGAAAACAATGCATATTTAGATTAATATCGTGAATGGATCGATGTTAGACCACTATTAAAAACCTATAAGCACTGGATGACCGTTTCATCCTAGTATGGGACTCAGCAGTGCGCATCTACGATCCCGCATGCGAGACTCGAACCCAGGACCTTTGGTCTCGCGCACCTACGGTGTTTCGGAACATGTGTTGTGCGTACCTCTAAATTACTATTTCTTTCTTAGTGTCATAGTAGTGAATGAGTGGAATGACTATTTGAATAATAATTTGAATAATTATCCACTGCTTTTATCAATATTTTCTCGCTTAAGAAGAGAACACAACTCTAATAAACGGACGAGAATAAATGAATGGTAACCGTTAGGAATTACATATGGACCAATATTATACGTATACTCTTATTGTATGACTATTAAGTAACTATAATATATGTATATTTATATTCCTTTCATTATAAGCTTTAATTTGATTTACTGACTATCATCATACGATTTACTATTCTTGAGATATTCTCAATTTATTGGTCACAGTTTCTCATGATCACAGCCACTTTCTTTTGGTTTGATCTCGTACAAATGTTATTTTCTATTTTATGGTTTGATGTGATCTGACTTGCTTGTATATAAACCTAGTATGCTTGAAATATATGATTCAAATTGTGGAGGTTGAAATTAGCATTCTGGACTTAACAGGCAGGGGCTAGGCAGAAAAAGGATTAATTGGAACTCTAGGTTGCCCATACTGGTATATACGTCATTAGTTTGATCGTATAATTCAGAGCATCTAAATTGGCAATCTGATTTGGTGATAATGTATAAGCTAAGGACATAACAACAACCATATCATTCCTGATCATAATTAATTTTTCTTTTTAAAAAAAAACATACTTATTTAACAAGGTTAAAGTATGCTGTAAATCGTTCAACGCTTGACCAGTAAATCCTTGATACATGCCAGACTGACATTTGAACATATGAATTTCAACTAATTCTGTATTTTAATTTCAAAAAAAGAGAAGAAAAAAACACAGTAGAAAAGTTAGCATTGAAAAATACGAAACATTAATACTTTGTTGAAATCTATTAAATGTATTCAACCACATAATTGAGATATGTGATAAAACAATGATTTAACTGAAGAATGAAAATAAATGTCAACTTGTTTTCAAACGATAATTCACGGGGTATCTACGACGAGTAACGCGTCTGTGATGTATGAAAAGGAAAAGACTTCTCTTTGTAATAAATTACATAGGTATTATTATTAATATTATTATTATTAATGGCTTTATTCAATATTATAGTTTTGGTACAATATAGAATTCTCAGCACAACATACAATAATGTAAATAACAGTTGGTAGATTTGTTTCAAACAAGTATAAAATGTATGTTCATGATAGATTGACATCTTTTTTGTAGATTACGTCCATCGACCTCATGAAAACTAAATATGTCATTTAGTTTAGAAATACGTGGTGTTTGGGATTTAATGCCAAAAAGATAACATACAACTGCTATATTACAAATAGAATAAATGTAAGCACATCTTTTTTGATCGATGACTGTTTGTGTTGAAAATTCTTAGAATATGCCAAAGAAAAATTAATAACGGTTCAGAAAACGCTTAGAAATACTTGATTCGACCAGGTATGACCACAAGCCTCCTCAATACATTTAGAAGGATAATAGAACATGTGTCCTGTTTTAATTGGATAATTGCTTTACTGGTGCTATATTTAGCATGCTTCTGGAACTTTCTAGACGATTAAGGTCATGTTAAATAGCACAAATGGGCAAGATTTCCTGCATATACCCTGACCTTTAAGTAAAGCTATTTTTGGCACTTTGCGCCTCTTCTCTTAAATTTAATTTGCAGATTTAGTCTGAGGTTATTGAAAGCGGCTAGGAAATTGGACTGAGTGTTCAATTAGCAGACTTATCGAATCGCAAGACAACAAACATGTGACATTGATAGTCAGTAACACATGAAGTTCAATATCCGAGAGTAACTTTGAAAAAAATAAATGTATTGCCCAAAAATCACTTTCATTTCATGACTCGCAGACAGCAATTACCATACCTAAAAATCTTATGCACATAATTTAATTTGTCGGCCGTGGAGAGTGTCAGCTCTCCCCCCCAAATGCCCTCACATCGCCACGGGTATATAGACACTCTCACAGAAGTTCTACTCACTGCCTCCTCATCGAGCATGTTGCTAACGAAATTCAAAGGACGAAAAGCGAATGTCTGACGCTTTAGCCGGGTTGGTGTGTATGGAGGATCCATCTAGAGAAGTGGGAAAACCCTCATTCCAAATCATTGAACATGAACACCAGGATCCTGAGGGAACAAATGGTATATTAATCTATTGTTAGTCACCGGCTACCATGGGACCCTATCTCCTTACGTTGCTCCACTGCCCTGTGGATTGGACCTCTGGGTCAAAGGCTCAGGAAGTAGCTCCTTAAGAAAATCACCTACTCCGATTTGCACACAACCCTCATACCAATCAATGATAACTACTACTGACCTCAGTGTTATTGTGTGGTGCATATATATTTGGTGCCCCCTTGTACTAATGTTTAAATGTCCAAGTAAATAAAAATAAGTAAATTTAATTTTAATGAAATTGTACAACTAAATATTTTTGGCAGATTCTACACATTAAACACTAAGAGAGTAAACGGATATACTAACCTTTCATAATCAAGACATAGAATTTTCTGTATAATCGATCAATCATGTAATTATTTTCAATCATCTTTAGTGCATTATTAAAACAACAAAGTGAGGAGTAAATATCATTCATATGACGATAAGCTCTTCCACATCTAAATTTTTTATAGGAGAATATTGATAATTTACTTGTTATAAGAATTGAATACATGACCAAATAATAATAATAAGAAGAACAAATTATTATTGTTAAGAAAGAGTAACTTCAGATTAATTAGGAATGTTGACAGTTAAATCTTATGTTAGGCGATTGAAATAATCGGTAGGAATTGCTAGACCAAGATTTTGTACTAACTGGTACTCATGTACTTGTATTGTCCAAAAAGTAAATATGCCATGATACAATCTAGAAGTTTGTCACAAGACTACCCAGCACTTAAAGGATTAGATACATATGATACTGATAACTACTCAGTGAACGAGGTTAGGCAACTCACTTTATATATGTTAACGTTGACTTGAATAAAATGAAGATTCAAATGTTAGCAGGTAAGTCTAACCAATAACCCTAGTTTATGTGTTTAAAAGAAATTCGTGACAATCTTGTCCGTTCCTTGGTTGGATATGAATTAACAATTTTTGTTTAAAGATTCTCACCTTATTAAAACAAAGATATGTGGCTCAGTAAAAGCGTGTCACGAAGACGGTTTTATCTTAACTAATCTGATTCAGACGAACCAAACACGAATAACATATTATGACCAGTAATTTTTAACGATAATCCACCAAGTTAGACGTCATTTGTCAAACGTACTTGAACTACGATGTTTTGTTGTTGAAAAAAACCGAACGTTTTATCCACAAAAGGAATCAATCCAGATCTATTTTATACCTTGACCGATCTAACTACATAATAGTAATAAATCGACAAGATGATTAACCTCATCTATTTCCCTCTACGTTTTATTCTCATAAATCTGAACACTTACCTAGCGCTCCATATAATTTCATTCTATTACGTGACCACTGACCGGTCAGCAATTGATTTGACTACTAAATATATTACTATTACACTATCCATCCTACATGATCTATATTTATTCCTATTATTATTATTATTATTATTATTATTATTATTATTATTATCACAATTTCATTTGATTAATTAACATAATTCCAGTATACACTGCACGCCAATGACTTAAACGTTTACAACACGTATTAAAATTCATAAAGTCGATCATTAAAAATTCATTAGCCTTCAAGTCGATTTAAACGTGGCACTCGTAAAAGATCAACCTCAATCAGAGTATCATTGAAAACTAAAGAGCATTGAATAGAAAGTACAAACTCAGGACGGACTATGGACACGAACAGTTGATGAGTTCCACATTAAAACGAAACAGCTATCCAGTATTTCTTGTATAATATCCGAACTGAGGTAAATCTATGACAAAGGTCAAATTCAAAGTAAACTAATCTCCACAAATAAATCCTAATCTAACGTCTTCATGTTTTTACTTGTGTCGTCCGATTCACAGATTTCCAGTTGAAGTACCATGATATAATTGCAGTCACAATAGTTTTGGAGGGTCATTTGCATCAGTCAACCATGTTCTTAATTCTAGTCATGGTCATTGGAGTGATTACCGATTTCAAATATTCAGCAGTAGAATAGTAGGGATAAAACAATAAGGGTATATTAGTATTCGAAAATGCGTGCTTTATAACATTATTGGACTAGCTGTTTGTGATAATATGTATCCAAAGTACCATAGAATCCACTTAAGATTTCTGATTCATTGACAGAGTACTTCCAAAACGTAATATTTCAAAAACAGATTATCAAATTTGTCTGGAAATACAGTTGTATCACGAATAGCAACACAAGCAATTAAAACTAAAAAAATATGGAATTTTGTGTATGGGAATGGGGTATCCGGATTTTCAAGCAAATGCCATTTTTAATCTTAGGGTCGGAATCGACTAGCAGTTCTTCTATAAAGCGGTTAGTGAAAACAAGTCAATATCATGTAGATTTTATGGATTTACATATCTACAATGTTCTAAACGAAGTTGAAAATTCAAAGAAATTGAGTTTGTGCTTAAAGTAAAAATTCAGATACTGCCACTGACCTATTCCTACAACATTAGAGTATTATTGAACAATGAAACATGATACACAAAACTTTAAGTCAAGGTAAAAAAAATTACGCTTACAGAACTAGTGTAAATGGTCGATTCGGTTCTAGCTGAAATTGTCGATCATGGAAAGGAAAAAAGCAGAGACAAACAAAAAAGAATGAAGTGATTCTATAAATTATTACTATTATTATTCAACTGTTGGTTTATTAGACGAAATTGAATCCACGTAATATAATTTATCCAGAGAACAAGATCATTTTGTGCACCCAGTTACGTATATTGACAAAATAGTTTTATGCAAAATTATGCGTCAGTAATCTTTGTGTCGTAGAAGTAAGGTAATGGTTTGTCACTGAGCATGAACAGACGGACACTTATCTTACTGACTATTTAATTAATTTCCATCCTACTCTAGACGTACTGAGTGTAGACTGCTCGTAATAGTTTTGAATAAGGTATTATCTAATCTAAACTCTGATTCTCTACTTTGATTGTGAATCATGTACCTGGTCTAACGTGATACAATCTGTATATACCCTAACGATCGAGTATCTAGTTTAGTGGTAATATAATCTCGGTCACTAATCGTATTACCGTATAATAATAGTAAATCATGGCAAGACGGGAAATATTTTCATTCAAAGTATTTTTAATAACAATAATGAACGTCAATACAGTTTGAACAGTTTGGTGGTTATAACTAAGCTGGTAAATGGATGGAAATTTGTTACCATTTTAAACAATCGATACTTATCGTCAGTATGGAGTTGTAGAGAATATTAAATTTCATTGAAATCACAAACCTATCTAGGTTAGACGACTATTTAAAACCTGGAAGCAGTCGACAGCCGTTTCGTTCTAGTATGAAATTGATTGCTCAGAAGTGAACAACCACAACCCTAACAATGCTCTGGAAGTTAAACTTTTGAGTGCAAAACGGAAGGCCCTGGGGTCTATTACCGGTTGCGGGTTAATGGATGTGCACTGAAGCGAAGTTCCATACTAGGATGAGGAAAACGTTTAGTGATTCCGGGTTTTAAATGGTTTTCGAACTTGTATCATTTCGTGATTTCAATAAAAATCGGTACTTAGTTCGGATCTCAGTATAAATACATCAACAGTAGGTTGCGGAGAATTTTAATTATATCAACTCATTTACTAGGGTATAGATTTGTGTACTTAGCATCAGATCCACACTATGCATTGAGGTCTGTTGATACTATCCGGTTGACCAAACCGAATTAGATGGGGCGAGGTTAGTGACTAGAAATCGAATCCGTTAACCACGCAGCTACTGCTTCATTCAACTAACGAGTCCCGAATAGGGAGAGACGCAGACAGGAAATTTCATTAGTAACTAACATCCAATAAAAACTGTTGTACTTAGTCGTTTAAACTGAAATAACACAGAGCATTCGGTATTAAAACTAAATAACTGCAAATTCAATTATGTTGTCGGTGTGCTTCGATGAATGAATCAATCAAAAGCAGGTTAAATAAATTCGCTATATATTTCGATTTAGCCAGTAATGTATGTAGTATGTTTTTATAATCATGATAAGTTAACAAATTCTCTCCATTTTTTCATATAACTATTGACTAATTTACGCAAAAGTGTGTAATTCAAAGAATAAGTTTAATATCGAATTATGTGTGTATATACAGTAAACAAATGGACTTATATATCGATATGAAATGATTATTTGATCCGTTATCTGGGCACCATGCAATCTATTTATCTATTTATCTATTTTAACACATAAAAATCGGTACAATGAGGCACAAAATACATATGCGCCACACAAATCTCATTCGATGTGTGAGGGCTGTGATACTGCCCGGGTGCCCAAACCGAAGCACCATGCAATGCTTATTAACTATCTGATTTAATATCATTATGAAAATTTGTGGAGATTGTAATATTTCGACAGTTGAATTTAAGAGTCAAGCTAAGCTGGACCACCATTGATTTAAATTCTACGAGAAGAAACAGACGTGGATATGCAAGTTAAAAAAAGCTTTCAGAGAATGTAATATATTTCTCATTTTGGACATCAACTGAAACAAACATCAAATCTCTGAATTCAAATCCTATAACCTTTGAACATTCCTTTTATTCAGTAGAGAACGAAGATGTGATCTAGATGTTAAGGAACGAATTAACAAAACGAGATTAGCATTCTTACAAGTGAAAGACATCTGGAACTCAAAATTACTGCCAACCAACACCAAAGTCGACATTTTCGATACAGTCCCATTATATGTAGCTGAAGCTTAGAGAACTATCACAAACGTCATCACCGAAAATTGCAGATATTTATAAACAGCTGTCAACGAATATATTAAAGAGCCAGATATCACCAGCAATAACCCACTATGACAGAGAACAAGGCAGCTCCAAGTTGGGGAGGAAATAAGGAAAAAACATTGGAGGTGGACAGGATATAACTTTACTGGAATCATTAGACTGCATTACAAGTTCCAACTTGGAAATCTTTAAAGCAGGAAGGAAAGCAGATCAAAGAACACATGCGCGTAGAGTTGGATACAGGCATCAAGACTATGAACATCAGTTGACAAAAAAGTTGGTTGGGGATCCCTCGTTGGTGACCTATTTACAATGACGGATAGTGACAGGCTTAAATCAAGTTTTACTCGATTAGTCTTTCTATAGTACTGTCCATACATTTTTAATTAATTCCCCTTGTTGCTACTAAGTGAGAAAAACAATATGTTGCTTTTCAATGCAAAAAAATCAGGCAGAAAGCTCATTTGCACGATTAAACAAAGAAAAAAACATACGTCTAAAGCACGATTGAAAGCTTTTACCGCTGTTTCATAACTTCTACGAAATAAGTAAGCTTCACCGAGAATTTCCCAATATAATCTAAAAAAAGTTTATATAGAGATATATTTAACTGTCATTTATAAATTCCATGAAATTTCACAGGCGAAATCATCACAAGTAGAATGAATACAATCACTAGTAACTGTTAAAAGTTCTATATCGAAACTATGAACTAGAGAAGTGTTAGACATACTAGCGAAAAATCCCTTCTACGTAATAAGACAGAGAAAGAAAAGGATTTCATACTCTCTCAAAAAATATATATATAAGCAATTTAGTGGAATAAACGAATTTTTATTAGGACAACAAATTACGCACAGCTTAGAACAAATGGTACATAGAGTGGATGGAGATTTACAGAATTTTAATAATTGAGTTCATGAGTCGATCTAAGCTAAACCACCATTAAAAACCTGGAAGTACTGAACGACCGTTTCGTCCCAGTATGGGACTCTTCACCATTGTGCATCCACGACTCCACATGCGGGACTTAAACAGAATTCACCAAATTTAAATACTAACTTTAACAACAGTTAACATACAATAATAAGACACCATTGCTATGAACTGGTGGTAGAAGCAACACGATTTCCAGTCACATTTAGAATCACAAAATATTCTCAAATAATAAAGTAATTTTAATATAAGCGGCTGAAGCTAAAACATCCTGAAGGAACAGATTTTGCGTTCGATCTTCGGTGGGATAGTTGATGTGCACTACTGATGAGTTCCCATACTAGGACCATATAGTTATCCACTGATTCCACATATTAATGTTTGGTTAACTAACGTCAGTTCGTGATGTGAACTATAAACTATTGCTGGAAAGTTGAAAGGGTACTTTTACAGAACACTTTTTCCTAAAACCCCAAACCAAGACTTCATATCTGTTTCCACATGGTACAAACACATATACACATAAATACCAAGCTCCAATCAACCTAAACATTGACGAATAATAGATTTAACGGTTGCTGTTAAGTCTACTAATTTGATTGGTATTTGATCTACTATTTTCCTTGACTAATTGATAGATATCAGTAAGTTGAAAGATACATGTAAATATATGGAGTTTATTATTATTATTACTATTACTACTACATCTATTATTTTTATTAATATTATTAACGAAATATGTACAACACTTACGCGTCATTTTTAGCTAAAACAACACGTTGTAATGCAGGTAAACAGTCGTTTATTCGACCCAAACGTAAATTAATTAAGCCATAATTAAGCCACATATCTTTTGTGAAATCACTAAACAAACAGATAAATGAAATAATAACAATAATAGATGATATATAGAATAAATTAAATATGGTTAAAACAATGGAATACAGGACGTACGTTTCATCCTATATGACACTTATCAACTGGACTAAATTTTAACAACGGAATAATTCAAGCTATCCAAAAAAAAGAAATTAAATTCACAGATAACACACTAAGAAATAGAATTTTTATGAAGGTTATGTTAAGCAGATAAGGCAAGTCTACACAAAGTGCAACTATAACAGAGTTTTATACTAGATAAAGAAATATTACCTATATCATAATTCGTCAATTAGTCAGCCATAATCAATGTATAGCCTATGTAAAAATGTACGATAGGTCTAAGTTGTTACACCACAACATTAGCACAATGAGATGAAATCAAAAGAATAAATGCCAAAGGAATCGAAATAACGTAGTACTAATGTTAATGCGAAAGACTGAATATTGAGAACATAGTTCTAAAAGATAAAGGTAAGATATATGTAAAGTGATACCGAGACTGAAGGAATACGTTAAAATAAAGTGTATGAATGTACCTGGGCTGTTATGACTGATTTTGACCCAAGTCACGTAGGACCTTCAGCCACCCAGATTGCAGTTATCACTCAAACCCCAACCAGATATTCGGTTCAGATAGACAGTCTATGACTTCTTGGATTCATTCCATGTCATGTTTCGACCGTCATCAGCTTTCTTCCAACCTATCATTCCCCAGTATCCTCTATGCCTAACTTCAACATAGCTAAATCTATCGTTTCACCATTTGTAAGTAATATTTTTTAGAAATCTATGATCAAAAACCTTCAGTATACGGATAATTTGGTGTTCGTTTATGTTGTGTTAGGCAGTTGACCAATTTTTCTACTGATACACATAGTTCCTATAGGCAAGCCTAAACAGGTACTTGAGTGAAACGACAAGAAAGAAATAGGAAGCTTTATTGACAAACCCTATTTGAAACAGATGTACTAACTCATCCATTGTTATAAATATATGTCCTACAGAAAATTAAGCCAAGTTTCAAACAATAGCATGCGCCCGTCAGTGTCTCGCATGAACCATTTGGTCAAGTCTATTTAATTTTGAGGTAAATTAACAAATTATGTATACTTAATAGTGACTGACTTCGAGAATTATTTACGAGTTCATGATGACAAGCTGTGGACAATGCGCGTTTAAACATATTAAGAGTGAGAAAGACACTACTGATAGCAATGAATGATGGTTAAGTTACATTATAAACTAAATAAAATGTGATCTTTGGAAGTTTACTAAGTAATTTAGAACGTATGGTGCCTCCGAAGAGACATGAAACTCTTGTATTTGAACACTAGTACGATCATAAGTGAGCTCTGTACTAAAAGGTTATAAATTAGAACCAAGATTATGTTTAATTCAATCTGATTTGAAATTGTTTTTCTCCAATAAATGAGATCTGGACAACAACTACTTCTTTCTGACTCAATGAAAACTCCTTTAACTCACAATTTAACTTCATTATGAAATTTCTTTTTTAAGCACGCATATACTACTATCAAAGTTATTAAAACTCAACACTCTTATTGTCATAAACATTAAAAATATTGAAAGACACTACTACTACTGTAGTGAACGAAGACTTGGCGGAGATACCCAATTTATTGTTCAATGCAAAATCACAGTGGTTTATTGAAATGTGAAATTCATACATTAAGTACATCATTCGCACATCGTCTTGGAATTTCTCCTTAAAAACTTTATTCTTCCTTCATTCCTGTTGTTATCTTGATTGCTTTCTGTCATGTCTGGCCGCTGATGAGTGTTATTTCAGAAGCGTTTATCACTTATACGTGTAAAACGAGGAACCTCTGCAGTTCGCACGACGCGAAATAAGAACACAAAGACTGGTACAACTGAAGGCTTATTAACCCCAAAACACGACGACGACCCTAGTCGGAAATACAATCATTTATTTAATAGAGAATGCACTATAACTGACTAGATAATGAGAATCAACGACACTTGGTATGTGGTTATCAGGGTTTGATTCTTCTGTAACATTTTCCTCAAATTTATTGAGAATCTCATTAGTAGATAATAGATCACTGGCAAAACCAGTATCTATCAAAATTGCATTAGATTTTCGATCATCATTTGGTTCATTCGACATATTTTCCTCATTTTTGTAAGGAATTCTATCAAAAACATGTGAGCCATTAGGATAACTCATATCTGATAAAACCCGATAAGTAGATTCATCAGAAACTTTTGCCGCAGAATGATAAGTTTCATTTGGTGCAATTGTGTTCATTATGCTGTTCGATTTATTTTGTTTCTTCGTGCGCGGGTACTGCAATAATTTCATGACAATTTTACAAGACACTGTCTTTATGAGAGCTGAGCAAGTCATTGCTGGTACATTGTGTAATATAAAAAACACTACTAATAGTAATAATATTACTATAAAGTGTTTACATCAATAATATCAACGAATAACTAAAGTAACGATAAAAATTTGGATTGCATTATCTAATTACAATAATTTTTACTTACATATGATCAATAAATGAATACACATCTAAAGCTTTTTCCTATATGAACAGAGAAAAAATGAAAAGAACTCATTGACGATAATATGGAAGAAGAAAACGTGCATGACTGTTCTCATCAGAAAGAAAAATCAAGAAACCAGAATAGGCAGATGGATTTACATATTATGAAAATGGAAATAGTAGCATATGGACGAGTTTAAAGTATATACGACAAGTTCCAAATAGTTTCTAGCCAGTTAATCATAGAACGGCTATTATAGATTGATAGTTTATGAAAAAGAAAACAGTACTATTAACAGTGAAAACAGGCATTACATAATCAGTAAGTTTGTTAGTGTCTTCTACAGAATACTATGCCTGTAAATTCAAATGAAAATAAAGACATATAAACGCATCTTAATGGTGATAGTATATCCATATTCTCGAATATTTGAAAGAATCTAAACAGATTTTTAAGAGTCTTCTCTAAATTGTTCCCAGTTAGAGTTTGAATTTTCATCACCAATTAACATCGGCTATAATTCAAAGGTGTTCTGTAGTTAAATGATTGAATGAATTTCAAATACAAATCCAAGAGGCGCTATCTGATTAGTTCATTCACAAAATACAAGGAGTCACTACGTTTAGGTTTATCTCACAATCAAAGATTTTATGGTTAGGAATTAGGAATAAAGTCGATTTATCTACTATATACAATCATAAGAGATAGAATTATGTATTTGATATATTTAATACCATCACTTTTACTCTATGGTGACAGATTTTCGTTTTTAGACGGTTTTAAACGTTTTACGTAATATGTGAAAGTATTTCTCCTGATCACCATATGTTATACTTGAATTTCGCACAAAAACCCAAAAGCCACTTTTTTTTAATTCTAATTAACTCATCCCTTAGTCTTAGTTTCACCGTGAATTCCTGGTGTGAATTTGAAAAAAGAACACAAATTGATTCTAACCAATTAAGTTAGTTATTAAAAATGTGAGAAATTTATGGAGCTTGTTGAATTTCATAGTTTAACATCACAAGTGGGCCTTAATTAGTTACCTAATTGAAAACTAGGAAGCACTGGATAATTCTGTTTAGTCCTAATAAGTGACTCTTTGATAGTGTGTATTCACGATCCCACAGGGTTTCCAGCCCCGATGACTCACTAATTAAGGTCAATTTGTAATCGAAAACTATGTGAATTAACTGTCTTATCTTTCATCAATTCTATACGGAAATGAATTGTGATTGCATTCAATCGAAGCAGCAACTTTGAAGTATCTATACAAAGTATTTTAAAAACAGAAATGGATGGTGGAGAGCAGTAGCATCCAAGATGCACGTTTCATCCTCGCCGGGACTCAGCTTGGTATGCCTCCATCTAAATTACTAAAACACTAGAGGCCTAAACAATAACGATAGTCACCTCCCACATATTCACCCTCCCAGTTAATACCGTACACGAACGGAAGAACTGAGTGACATCAAACTATGAGACATCATCTCCAATTACCAAAACATTCAGGACATAGTTGGCTAAACCACTTTTTAAGAGTACTCATTTTTTAATATACTACTTATCAAAGACAACTTTATGCCTAGGCAACTCACGAATATGGCAGTGTATATTCTATCAGCAATAGTATATTTTAAAATGATCACGACTGAGCGTTTATTTTGCATGTGTCCTAATACTACACATCATTAAAACCTGATCAAAAGTCGTTAGTCAAAATAATTTACGAAAGTAGAGAATACACTTAAGTAGCCAATTCTTTGATCATATGTGTCTTCGTAGAGCTACTTACACTCAATGGAAGCATCAAGAAAGAAACTCATAGGGTGCTGAGTACATGTACAATGATAGCAATAATATTCCGTAAAAGAATGACGTTAATTGTGAGACTTACCCATTCTTCTTGCCTACACAATGCCACTGAATAATAATAAGCGCAAACTGGCGAACCAGGCATCAAACGATAGGCTTCAGCATAGAATGTCAATGCCTCTCTGAGGAAACAAAATGAAGACGAACGAACAAAAAGAAACGAAAGATAAATATGAGGAAGAAGTAATACCGTCGGGACCCTTATAAAAAGCCTAAGTAATTAATGCAATAATTATCAAGGAATAAGTCTGCTACCAATCGCTTTCAAACTATTAGTTTCGATCATACTCTAAAGACTGTATAAAAACCATATAAAACTAACTCGCGAAGAACGGACTGACTCTGACCAAGGTTATACATCACATCCTCATACCACCAAACCTTGTAATACCGCCACACTTGTTCCAGGTCACGAATCATAGTGTTTCTTGATACCAGGGCCGTGGTCTTCAATTCATTGAATAGGACTGTGCAACGAGAATGTCTGTCCAAGAAGGCTGCGCACGAGAACCTTATTATTATCTTGAAGGCTTTGTTTATAAACATCTCAGGCAGAGTGAGGACACACAACTACGTCTCTCAGTTTTCCTATTCCATAAGCCGGGTTGTCCAATCTCACCATTCCTCTTCAACTTTACCATCGATAATATTTCGGAAACAGCTCTGAAGAAAGTACACAGTAGTGATGTGGATATGTTGTCTAAAAATCACGAGTATGGAGGTGTCTTAATTTGTAACAAACAAACCGGCTGGTCAAATTACGTTTAAACATTTGAGAATTAGTGCTCAAGAGTACAGTATGAACCCTGAAACTTCGAAGTGTAAAGTAGTTTATAATTGTCTCGAAAAGATTACTCAAATTCAGCGGAGACAGTATGTTAGTAATCCCGAAGTGAGTTCGTGTGTAGAGATAGTGATTAAATTGGGGTTACCACATCGAAACACTGGCTTCAGTAGCCTGGATATATTCTACAGATATCATCCCAGTGACGCCCAACGAATAAATAAAAGTATAGCCGGACAAAATGGTTGTCATCTGTGGAAAATGTCTTATTGACAAAAGACCTCGGTATGGCTCTGATACTTTTAGTCTTATGAATTTTCGACCGATCATTTCTGGTACATTAAAACCCCAAATAGGTGTTAGTGATATCATTACGATACGCTAACTCGACTACTAAACAAAATGTTGTTTTCGGTTACGAAAAGTATCAGTTGAAGGCAAGTAATACTTCAGAAGGTGATTGTACTTGATTATTGGTTAATTTTAACACCTAACTGACGTGTCATTAAGATATTTCAAAGATGATGCAGAGATTAGATATAAAACATTGCCTAAGAGTGGTGAATAAATGTATGAAATTATTGTAACTGAGTGATTATAATGCTAATGATTACCAACTATTTCAATCAGCTGACTAGTTGGACAAACCGAGAACACGTAGAAGAATTCTCAGATATCCAACACAACCCACCACTTCTTCCTTTTCCCCTAACCGTCAACAAATAACAATGTGATACAAATTGTCTTAGAAAAGAACAGAAAAAATCACTGACATACCTCGTACACAAAAAAAAGACTTACTTAAAACTCTCCATTTCACGGTGTATATGACCTATTTGTAAATAATTCGCATAATAACACTTGTCCAATTGAACACCAAGAGAAAATGCATTTAATTGTTGATCACGACCCATAGTTTCAGGATAATTTGTAATAGATTGTGAAAACATTTTCATTACATAACCAATCAAATACTGATAACGAGCTGAATGAATGGTAAGATTATTCGTTTTAAGTAAATCTAGAAATTCATTCACAATAGGCTGTAACATTGTTTCTAAAAAGAAAATTTGTTAAAAGTATTTTATTTTTAAGGGAAAAAACATTAAACGTTATGTTTAAACAGGATAATGATAATGAATAATAATAATTTATAACAAAGTCAATGGCGAGACTATAATTTATGGAAGAACCAATCACGTATAAGATAACGTCTCAGATTTTGACGCGAAATTCACTAATCCATTTGGATAAATAGAGTCTTGGCATTATAGCCGATGTCAGTTTATGATGAAAAACCGAAATCTAATTCCTAAGCTTAATCGTCAACTGTAAATCACAATTCTAATTTCTTACATAGGTTCATAATCCTCATTTGGTCCTGGTTATTAAGCGGACACTCTCAAGGTCAGTCTAGCGTCGCTCAAAGGTCGTCCATAAATTACAGTCTCACAAAATCAATCAGTGATAAGCAAAATATCACACTCTATATTACCAAAACCAGATGAAATTACCAAAACTGATCATATTCTTACCATATTCTACTCTTTACAGGTTCATATTAACCAACTATTAACTGAGTAAGGTTTCTAATTGATCCGTCTTTTTTTAGTAATGGCTTTATTCAAGATTATATTTTTGGTACAATATAGAATTCTCAGCATAAAGTATTTCAACAAGTTTCCTTTCTTTATTTCTTCATTTATCCTGACGATAAATATTGAGTGATCACCAGTTAGATGTTTTTATTTATTATTTATTTGAACACATAAATACTGGTACAAGGGGGCACCAAATACACATGCACCACACAAATCTCATTTGATGTGTGAAGGCTGTGATACTGCCCGGGTGCGCAAACCGAAGCAGGTGGTTTACATAGAGGGCCACACCCGGAGCCTTCGACCTGAAGAACTGATCCACAAGGCAGTGGAGCATCATAAGGAGATCCAGTACCATGGTAGCCGGTGACCAACGATTGGTTCATACCCCATTTGTTCATTCAGGATACTGGAGCCCATGTGCACCATTGGTTTGGAATGAGGGTTTTCCAACTCCCCTAGGTGGACTATCCTTGTCCACCAACCCGATTAAAGCGCCAGACATTCTCTTTTCGTCCTCTCAATTCCGTAAACAACACTCCCACCACGAGAAGGCAATGAGTAGGACTTCCCTGGCAGAGGCTGTATACGCGTGGCCATGTGAGAGCATTTCGAGAGAGAGAGCGGACTCTCCCTACTCTCGGCCATACCAGGGCATTTGGGGGCTGGTAGACCAAACCGAAGTAGGTGGAGCAGGGTTCGCACCTGTAACTTAGTGGCTGAAAGTCAAATGCCCTAATCACTAAGCCGTCGCACCATACAAAGTTATAAAGTAATTGGAAATAGTTATTCACTTTAAATAGGATACTTAAAGAGATTAATTATTGATCGAATTACCAACGAAAACATATGCTTAAAACAGAATGTCGACATTTGTACAACAAAAAATCACGTTTTTTCCTGTCTAGTTCTCTAGAACTATCGAATGTGTATATCGTTAATAACTTACTATCGGAATCATTCATCAACTTGGTAGAAATAAGCTTAGATACTTTTAACCATATCAGACATATTCGAAAACGTGGAGATAAATCAATACTATTTGGGATTGTCTCATTCATTTGGCAACCATGATGTATTTTCCACTTTTCAAGAATATTGAATGCCACTTCTAAATTATTAACGATTAGGTAGTATTCCAAGTACAAAGTTTGATAAACATCTATCCAAGTAGACGGGATCTAAAAAGAAAGGGATATTTTTTCAAAATAAATTTTAGAGATCAGAACACCTAAACAGTAGAAATACTTTTAACAAATATAAATGAATATTCGTCAGATGATTTTTGTGGAGATTGTAGTAATTTCAATGGTTAAGATCATGAGTCAATTGAAGCTAGACCACCATGGAAAACCTGGAAGCACTGGACGGCCGTTTCGTCCTATTGTGGGACTTCACAGCAGTGTGCATCCACGATTCCGCTCAAGGGATTTGAACCCAGGACATGTCAGTCTCGAGCGCAAGCCCTTCACCACTAGATCAGTAGGTAAAGTTTGAACAATACTGTTATGGACATAAATCACTTTTATGAATTAGTAGAAAAAAATTACTTCGATAATCAACTATATACATCAGAAATTGATAAATTAATTCCTATCTTAGGTAGAACTAAGATGTATAAGCAATTGATCTAAAAATAAAAAAATGTCTACACGATAACATTGTAACTCTAATCGAAAATGATAGATAGAAATAATAATATTATTATATATTATATTATTATTGTTGTTGTTGTTTAGATAGTTAATTGAAGTTAAAAAGGTTGAATAGTAACTAGGAGAAAAATAACAATTGATTGTTGAGGTTTTGGGAAATGGATGATACATTTTCAATCAACCTATTACTCATCATTAATATGTTGAGAACTTATATTAAAAATATTCATAATTTAATTCATTTCCATATTGTTGGCATATGTGTATCCTGTGAGGAGTGCCTCGATGTTACCTTAAGTCACAAGCATTCTAAGCAAAGATGGATGGTGGCTAGGAGTGCAATAATCCAGGATGTGCGCCACTTTGTCATATTTGGGACTTTTCAGCTGAATGTACCCGAATCACAGAGTGAATGTTCACTGCGACAACCAGTATTGTTCTCTTCAAGCGAACGATACTGAGTTCAATTCTTGGAGTGAGCATCAACTCTGGGATGCAGGTGCATCCGGTTGACGAGTCCTATGTAGGACAAAATTTGCATCCTGGATTCTACTGCTAACCACTATCCATCTTTACTTATTCATAATCTTAGTTTTTGCTCATCGTATTATTAATTTGATACAAAAGTGTTAGGTTAATAATCTTCAAGTCTTTTAAAACAAATATTTAGTTTGACTTGAATTGGATTCGAACTATTCTAATCAGTAAATCTTTATGTATAGTTTAATTTAATAAGATAAATGTTTTCTTATCAAATGTAGATCACAGTTGACTGTTAAAATTCAAATGCATCATAATTAAACAATATATAGGTATCATATGATTACAGTGGGTCGAAAATCGCCAAGTGGCTTTCTTGTCCAAGAGATTAGGCATAAACCACTGATGGGCTTGATTTCACAGGGGTTATATATATATATATATATATATATATATATATATATATATATATGAATGCGTCTAGCCAAACAGACTTCTTTCCTCACTCCGTATTAGAAGAAAAATATTATTGGTTTAATAATGACTACAACAGTTACAACTAGATAAAATAAACTACTTTCTGTCGAAATAATAGATAGTTCGTGTTTGATTAGTCGGTTAATCATTCGTAATCAAGGTACGATGTAATACGAACTTGCATTGGTTCAACTCACTATGTAAGACTAATGCAACTCATATACCAAGTATAGATGTATGTACTCAACTTCGGATCGCACAGTTTATGGGAGAGTTATTAATACTTCTTGGCTCTTCAAAACAAAGCAGATTAAGTGGGATTCGGACCTGTGACCTACAGGCCTTAAAGCATAGTGATTTAACAATAGATACTTCTCCAAAGATATTTATGCATATAGACAATACAAAATGAGTTTATCATTATAGTGGTTTTCCAGTAGAACAAGATATCATTCAAACTCTTTAAAACCTGAGTAGTACAGAATCATTCTATGGTGCAACCCCCCTTTATCAGAGACCAAGAACTTCAGTTGACTGGAAGCACCAAATATTAGACAGCTGCTTCACTTTTAACATAAGCCCCTTCAGAAGTGAATGCCAATGAAACTTACCAAGGATCAAATCTTATACCTACACACCTCAGAATGAGCGCATTATTCTTAGAATGATAAAAAACTGAGAAAATAATGATACATATATCGAATAGTCTCAGATCCCAGTAGATTTTTTGTCAACTTACCTTCCATAAGTTAACAACGGATAAATAATATGTTCTAATGCCAACAGAACTCGTTGAACAACAACAAAACCTACCGTTATCAGTTATTTCAGAGTCTTGAAATCAAAGTTTAAGGCTAGTGAGAATACAACAACACTCAGTGTCCAAAAGTTGATACTGATACACAAACTTCCTATACCCGAACCCAATCTGCTACTCGAGTTAAAAGATATATATCCACACTAGGTAATTAAGCCTTTCAGTGATTTATATCTCATCCCTTAGCTAACATCGTAAACTTGTCATTTGACGATTTTTTATTGACACAATGTATCAGTTACAATAATAACTTCAATACATGAGCCAGAAATCATTTTGTATTTTACTGCATACCTAAACTAAATATTACAATCTTTAGAATGTAAAATACTATTAAATGAATTAAAACACAATTGATAACTTGAGAGAATGGATATCCAAATTAAAATTGATTTGTAACTAATTGTTAGTTTCAAGTGAAAACAGTCAGTCAGTAACAAAATAGAACTTCGTACGTACGTACATCAGTTCGAGTTGCCATACCACATTAGTACAGAGATACAGTTGTCGATTCAAATCCCGTAGTGGTAGAGGTAGTAAGAGTATAAGCAGTAATCGGGAAGATTATGGTTTGGAGATGTTATTTAAAGAGTATAGTCCAGTGAAATAAATTTGGGAAGAGAAAAAAGAGACAAGGAGGAATCAGGAGACTAAAGCTTGGGAGAACACAAATAGTGTATGCACCTGCACCATTGCAAACGATTTTGAGCCATGTCATTCAGGGTCTCTAACCATCGGTTGCTATCATCTCGCGGTCCCCAACCAGGTAGTCTACACCTACCAACATGACTCAGTCCACTTGTCAGTGACTTCATGGACTTGTGCCATGTTTTGGTCTGGCCGCCCCTAGCTTTCTCCCAACCTACTCTTATACCACTGAACATCGCACGTGGTGAAAACAACAATAACAATATTTAAAATAATGTTACTTGTATAATTTTCACACTTACATATTTTGTATTTGCTAATCGACAAGAAATCACTTCAATATTTTCCTGGGTATTTTTTGTAGAAATTTCTGAATTACAAATATTCGCCATATTCATTATCCGTAACCAAGAATTAATTATTGTATAAATATTATATTTTGTTGGTAAATTATTCTCTTCAAGTTCGTTTAAATTGAAACGAAATGGTGTACATAATGTACGATGAGAGAAATTTGAATTTGATGCATAATTGATAAATTTCGATATAGGTTCAGATAGACTTTCAGATTCTGAATAAAATTGTGTACAATTTCTATCAATAAAAGATATTACTGAAATATATAAAAAAAAGTACAGATTATTTATATATGACAGGATGATTAGTGAAAAAGTATAACTTTTATTTTAAAGCTTTCGTTTAACCTAGAAATTGTTGTCATATTTCTTATTGTTCTAGATCCATCATTCATTAATCATTCACATATTACCATGGTCTTGTATCAATGATGTCTAAGTTATGTACATATTATAGGTTTTTGTGTTGTGTAATCAAATATTTCAGGTCTATTACCGTACAAATTTTGAGTCATTATTGAATCGAATAGACTAAAGGATTGATATGCTTTTTGTATCCGCCTTCTGATTGGTCACTGGGTTAGAAGGGGCTCCAGGACTACTAAGGTCTTGGTGACTGGTTCACTGATCTTTGTGCCACTCAGTACACAAATGGTCATCAGTCATACTGGCAATATAGATGAATTAATCGATAATCGGATTAAAAAAAGACCACACAACTGTTTTCCTGCCACTACAACTCGGAAACACGAGACCAAATACAGCCCAAGTAAGCAATCTGTTTTCTCTTATGCATATACATATATGTAAACGTATAACCAATCTTGAATAATGGGATCATATTTTAGGCTTGGTTCAGCACGATAAGTGATTATTTCGTCATAAGTGTAACGAATAGGACAACAATTTAAAATTGTAAATATTACTTCGGAAGTTATAAGTTTTAAAACATGGTAAACATTATATTCATATTTTGCTAAGAAAACCAGCGGAATTCACATTTGCAGAAACTATGGACTGTTAATTGCAGATATTCGGAGAACAATCGTCAATATTCCATACCAGATATATGTGTTTATAGCAGGTTAGTAGGGGGTAAAAGATGATTGCTTGATACATGCTAGCATCGCTATTCGTCAACAATGAAATATCCCGACTGCAGATATCTGCAGACCCGTTGGTCTGTGGTTTACGGTATGTGTGGTATCTTGAGCTACACAAACTCCCATAGTGGCAAGGACTGAATTTGATTCCAATATATATTTAGTGCAACAAGATGGTTCCCATCTGGAAATAAATTATCTGTAGAAATTCTCTTCAACAAACAAATGTACGCAAGTTTCACAGTATTACAGGTGAGAAAAACCAAATACCAAATGTTGAAGTTGTGGCAAGTCTCATTTTGTTAAATTTTGGGCTAGACAAACATGAAGTTGGTTGCTACTCAATGATCAACCGATTGTAAATATCTATCTTAAAGGAAGTCAGTTGCGGTCTGAATAGATCAATGGTAACGTCTCAGACCGCGAAATTGAGTGATATGCGTCCAAATCGTATAAGTAGCATCAGTTCCCCCGACACTACAGGCACGCCCTATTAATGAGTATCAACCAAAATAAAACCTAGGTCTCGAGTTTCACCCTGTCAACTACCTTCAACAGCGTGATGCCGAGTAATTTAGACTAGTGGTCACATAATAACTTAATCGTTAGAGTTTGATCAGGATTATTAAAAGATTAGAACAATAAATTTTACTGAGCACATTACTTGAAAATCATTGGTCATATTCGGCCTTAGAATAGGCCGAATAATGACCAATGATTTTCAAGTAATGTGCTCAGTAAAACAACAGTAGAAATTCATTAGTTTTAACAGAAATAAAAAACCACAAAAAATAGTGTAATAATAATAATAAACTAATCCACTTACATGTAGTAATGATTTCATTACAACTCTTGAATTGATATAACTTAAACGCCGCCAATGCATACAAAAGTCCAGCTGAATTTTTATTCAGTGAATTAAAAACAATAATAATAATAATAATAATAATGAAAAAACTGTCGGACAAAATCTTATTCCATACTACTTAGTATAAATGACAAAACGAAACAATATTGCATAATCACATTTGAACATAATTGATTAATTTTAGAAGTGCCCTCAAATGCCCTGGTATGGCCGAGAGCGAGGTGAGCTCGCCCTCCCTCTCGACATGCTCTCACACGGCCACGCGTATACAGCCTCTGCCAGGGAAGTCCTACTCACAAAATTGAGAGGACGAAAAGTGAATGTCCAGCGCTTTAACCGGATTCCAAACCAATGGTGCACATGGGCTCCAGGATCCTGAAGGAGCAAATGGCGTATGAACTAATCGTTGGTTACCGGCTACCATGGGACTGCATCTCCTTACGATGCTCCACTGCCTTGTGGGTCAGACGTTTAGTTCCAAGACTCGGGGTGTCGCCCCCTAAGAAAACCACCTGCTTCGGTATGGGCACTCGGGCAGTATCCCAGCTCTTACAAAAATCGAATGATTTATGTAGCGCATATCTATTTGGTGCCTTCTTGTACCAATGGTTATGTGATTAAATAAATAAATAAATAAAATTTTAGAAGATGAAGCTTATCATAACAATGTGATATATGGATGGTTGAATATGTGTACTGAAATAATCCAAAAAAAGCCATAATCAAGTCAAATAAATCAATATGATTAGTAGATAAACATTCATTCTCTTTCATTATTGAACAACATTATAGTTGAAAAAGGATTATAAGATTGATCTTAACTAAGCTTTTGTAATTTTGTACAAAAGTGATTCAAGGGTGTATAATACTAAGGTTTATTAAAGTCTTGGACATTAGAAAATTCAAACCGCTTTGATATGTATCCAAAAATAGTTTGTTCCTACTCTAGACCCACCATAGTAATATTGTTTTATTATACGAATAACAACATTAAAACAACTGTGGTCTAAATACCAAGGTTGAACTTGATAGTCTTAAATAAATTGAGCACTGGGCAGAAAGGTAATAATAAATGAATATACTTTTTAATTCACTTGGTATTATTTGGCTTGTATCTTCCTATTGTTATTTAAGACTGTAATTGATCAGTCTGTTATTGGCATATGTGAATACTGTGCGTATGCCTCGATATTACCTTAATTCACAAGCTATTTGTAAGCAATGATGGATAGTGGCTAGCAGTGGAATCCAGAACAGCTGGATGTACCTGCATCTCAGAGAGTTGATGTCCACTTTTTGTTATATCCCAATAAGTAGAAAAATTGTATTTCTGACAAGTTCAAAGTATACAAGTGTTGATGTAATTCAGTTATTTATTTACTCTAAAGAAGTGATTAACATTACGTCACAAAATGTAAGAAATACAATTTTCCTACTAATTGGAATATAACAAAAAAGTACTTGTTATTACTTGTGGTCTACATTTATTATTCATAACTATTCCACCAATTTTACACTCTTCAAACCTGTCACTTGGCAATATTATTAATTTTAAAAATGATATAATCGGTTATTATTAATTCAAGAATGATACAAAAATCAATAATTTGTGTAGTGATCATTTTTTTTTAATAACGATGAGTCCCAGTAATCATGTTATTAATAGTTCAGATTCAATTTTGAATGTGGTTACAGTATGTTAAATTTTTATGTATTTCGGATATGACGGGATGAAAAGTCAAAATTAGATTGATTTACTTATTATGATCTTTGGGTTAACATTATTTCCGTTTTAATTCAATGTAATGATTATTCAATGTTTTATTTATTTTAACACATAAATATTGGTACAAGGAGGCACTAAATACATATGCGCCACACAAATCTCATTTGATGTGTGAAGACTGTGATACTGCCCGAGTGCCCAAACCGAAGCAGGTGGTTTTCTTAGGGGGCCACACCCCGAGCCTTCGACCTGAAGATCTGATCCACAAGGCAGTGGAGCATCGTAAGGAGATGCAGTTCCATGGAAGCCGGTGACCAACAATTGGTTCATACACCATTTGTTCCTTCAGGATTGTTGTAACGGTTGTGTGTGTGACTGCAGGTTTTTGATAAGCAGCGTTATTTATCGATCGCGATCTGTGACAGTGACACGGAAAACACGTACGGACGACCTAGTGCCCTGATTGGCCCTGCTTCGCTGTCCGTCCTAGCCCAGTTGAGTGAAGAACACAAGTCACAGCCTCGGAGTTATGAATCATTATATTTCAAACATACTCTATTTATATACCAAGCAAACAAACCACATCGTACCATAAAATAGGAAACAACATTTGTACAATATTTAACAAGTGAAATAAACATCGACCAATAAGAAATGTACATTTAAGGTTCAAGGACACCATTGAACTTAACATGATAATTATTGGTCTCTTTTTCCGACTATCCTAACAAGGATCCTGGAGCCCATGTGCACCATTGGTTTAGAATCCATTTAAAGTGCTGGACATTCGCTTTTCGACCTCCCATTTTCGTAAACAACACCCCCGCCACGAGAAGGCAATGAGTAGGACTTCCCTGGCAGAGGCTATATACGCGTGGCCATGTGAGAGCATTTCGAGAGGGAGAGCGGACTCTCCCCACTCTCGGCCGTACTAGGGCATTTGGGGGCTATTCAATGTAGCATTCGGTTTTGCTTTCCCGTATGACCTTTTTATTCTATATAACATACGATATTCTTGTATTCAATTGACATGTACTATGCTCAGTATATGATTTGTTATAACTGTAAGTATTTTTCATATATGTGATTTCATCTTAATTATTAATCAAAAATGGGTGCATGAATCAATATATAAATGAGTGCATTTTCAACTAGACTTGTCGTGGTTGTTTGTGCTTCTGACTGCTTGTGGAATATATTTCCCTCTTCTAAACATGAACTTCTCTTTCTAGTTAACTGGGCTGAGACACATTGGAAGAGCTAGCTTATCTGTCATTGTGTCACAAAGTGTTCGTTCCATTCACAGATTAAGTAAACTCGTAATCTTTTCAGACATAGCAATTTCTGGAGAGAAAAAAAGTGCCCACTCGGATGTATTGGGCACATATTTCGATAACACTTAAACCAATTACTATTGTTTTCTTTGATATTTATGGTTATAGCCTCAAAATTTATCGTTTATGAAAAAAACCACAATTGTTTTATTAATGTCAATTACATAATTCTGATAAAAATTCGTCATTTTCATCATATCAACTAAATTTATTAAGAAAAACTGATTGTTGTAAACTCATTTTCTTTCAAAGGAGAACCCCCTGAGCAAATTGTGATTACAGTATATTACAATATAATGCATTATTCAATCACGATCGAGAGAACTAAATTTGAGCTTTTAAGTGAGATTTAAAAATGAATGGATTTTATCTTACATCCCATAAAAATTATAAAAAACTTAATACAGTGGATTAGTATGTTTTTTAACAGATGAATTAACGAGTTAATCTAAGCTAGACTACCACTGAAAACCCAGAAACACTGGAAAGCCGTTTCGTCCCGGTATGGGACTCCTCAACAGTGCACGTCCACGATCCCGGACGCAAGACTTGAACCCAGGACCTTCGGTTTCGCACATGAACACTTAACCTCTAGACCACTGAGCCGGTTTCCAGTGGTGATCTAGCTTAAATTGACTCGTGAATTAAACTGTTAAAGTACTACAACCTCCACAAGTACCTAAGTAGTGGTGGGACTATAATTTATGAACGACCTTTGAGAAAATCCACCTAATTACTGGGGTCAAAAGAAGGTTATAGATTAGTGAGAGGAATTAGGATTAAAATGGACAGTCAGAAAATAGGGTTTTCATCACAAACAGATCAATTGCAATGCCAAAATTTTGTTTAGCTATATGGATGCAAGAACTTCATTCCAAAATCCGAGACTTTCTAACTTTTATTTCATTAGTTCGTCCTTAAACTATAGTCTCGCTGAAGCAGCAGAAATAGTATCAGGGACAGTAGGAAAAATTAGCTATAAAGAGTATGATTGAAGAAGAATTAATTCACAAAATAAAAGGTATAAACTCAGGATTAAAGGGAAGACAAAGAGTGGATGAATCTGTATCATTTCTAAAATGATATAGTGATGAGGTACAGGTTGATGTTTGAACATTTAACTATTTAAAACATTGAATTTAACAAGGATAATAGGGATGATGTGCCTGATAAAAGTCAACCATGAGTGATCATTGAACGAAAACAGAAATATTCGACAATACTAGATTTAAGAGATTATCTCATACTGCTTATTATCCATTCCAATAATTTTCCACTTTGATTACATATACCCTGATTGTGATCTAACTTGGTTCTTCAATACTGGTTAGGTAATTGATTCGTGTGTCACATGATCTATTCCCCAGTCTGATGATATTTAATTCTAGTGTTCAGTACAGAATCAGAGAAATTCTAATTTTTCCATCACAACAAGTACAAAAACACAAACATGGGTTACCTACCATGAAGATCAATTATTCCATTCTTTGAACAGTTGACAAATCCAACAACTCCATTGAAATCAAGTTTGTTAATATCACTTTGAATAAGATTCCATAAATCTGAACATTTTTCATTATTCTGATTGCTAGAATTTGTAGTATCATCATCCACATTATTGGTTGATGAATAATTGGGAATGAAATAAGTATATAAACGATATAACAACTGACTCAAACATAGTGTAATATGAGTTGTTTTAGTTACATCGCTTGATTGTTGTATTGTTTCTAACATTTGTTCAAATTGTTTTAATCGTTTGAGGTACACAGCTGATGAAGTGATAAAGGGTACTCTTGACTGTTGCGTTATATTCTTGAATTTTAATTTATTACATAAACTCTGGTCAATAAATTCAGGAAATCCATAGACTGATTATTTTTATTTAAAGGAAGAAAAAATCAGAAACAGAAATGTTTGCAAGTAACCATGTGATATTTTACAATCATATTTATAGTATTAAAAGTATCCCATTGTTTTATGTAATTAATGATTAATAAACATGAAAGCCTAGAAATGGCATGGTACGGTCGACCGTGGAGAGAGGTAGCTCTCTTCAAATGCTCTCACATCGCCACGCGTGTACAGACACTCCCACGAAAGTCCTAGTCACTGCCTTCTCTTCGAGGGTGTTTTGAACGAAATTCAGAGGACGAAGAACGAATATCCGACGCTTTAACCGGTGGGTATGGAGGATCCACTTAGAGGAATGGGTTAACCTTCATTTCAAACCAACGGTGAATATGGACACCAGGATCCTGAGGGAACAAATGGCGTATTAACCTATTGTTGGTCACCGGCTACCATACGACTGCATCTCCAAAAGTTACCCTACTGCCTTGTGAATTGGACCTCTAGGTCAAAGGCTCGGGAAGTGGCCCCCTAACAAAACCATCTGCTTTGGTCTGGGCACTATTCCAGCCCTCACACAAACCGAGTGACGAAATGTGGTGCCTCCCTGTACCAACGTTTAAGTATTTAAATAATAAATAGTTTACTTAACACGTTTTACTCACAACTTTAAGTAATGAAATGGTTACTCAGACAACATACAGTAAGTTATGGTTTAAAAAATTCTTTGCCTATAAGGTGCGACAGGGATTGTCAAAAGAACTTTAATGTCATAAGTTTGATCAAACGGTGTGTTGTTATTCAAGCGCATTGAGATGATAATATTCAGACGTTAATTAATAACTGTCTCATATTCAATATGAGTTAATTCCAACAGTCTCAACTTCTCACCAGAACTTATGACATTTATTTCAAAGTTAGTCACTAATAATCCCTTGACTACTCAACAATCGGTTGGTTTGTAGAAATTAATTCAATTTGGAGATAGTTTTCGTTTTCAGTTTAAAATATAAACTGCAGAAGGCTAAAACCTAATGGTCTTAAGGGATAATTTGCATATTGAGAAACCTAACGGTCATTAATTCGACCTTTGTAGAGAAATCGTAAGCACTACCATTGAGAAGTTTCAAACTGAGATGAGAAGCTATTTAATATCCTCTGATAGCCAATCATTCCTTTTCCATCTGACATATATTCATTGATGACAAGAACTAAACTTTAAATTGAATGAGTCTTTATTGGTACCCCATCTTATCCACTTACTGAAGTAAATTGTGTTTAACTAATAAGATTTTGAGCTTCATTCATAAGAAACTGGCTATTTTTTATGACTCAATGTGCTCATACATTGATTTATGAGGGAGAAGTGACAAGACAGTCAAACATCCAATACCATTGAACATATATTTTTCCTTTACTTGCACTTTTCAAGACTTATTATCTGGTAAATAAGCTGCTTTAGCTCCCCTACATATCTTTTTTTCACTATAATTTAGCGCAAAACACTTTTATGAGTTATGACAATATTCATATATGTATAGAATAGATGGAATGTGGCTAGGATACGGATTTCGCCCCATTTGGAAATCTGGGATGCAGATACAACAAGCTGATAAATCTCAAATAGAACGTAACGTGAGTTCTGAATTTCATTACTAGATACACGTCATCTATTATACATTATTTTTGTTTTATAGTAGGCTATACCGAGGTAATCTGAACAGAATGCACGACTTCACTAAACCATAATTTAATCAGAAAAAAGTGTTACTAGGCCTAGCAAGAAGAGTATTGTCTACAGCCAACCCGCTTATTGACCAGAGTTAAAGTATTTTTGTTTTTATTTTTTTCAAAACACAGTTCCGTTCACATTAAGTTTTTAACACTAAAATAATGTAAAACCGAGGAAATTCGACAAAATAGTATTCTATAAATTTAAAACCTTTAAATGTTTTGCATAATTAAACGAAAAACCAATGGTAGGTGATAAGTCATTTTCTTCAAAAAGTACACATCTAATAAATGTTTATCAAAGTAAAATATGAAATATGTTGTAATAAAACGCATATGTCCAGTTAACTCCTGTAACATTATGTGGTTGACTTCTCGAACAATACATAGTCAATGAAAATGGTTGGTGACAGCGTGTATGACAGAACTAACTTAGGAAGATAATACATTTTATTATTTTGTATGCCAAACCTGAAAACAAACAACATACAAGTTTACATACCCTTAACTAAACTCACATAAGAAATATTCGATTTGTAAACGAAAAGTAGCTTCAAGAGCATATACATTGTCTGGATCGTGTTCAAGAACAAATTCGCATATATCATTAAATTCATTAAAATCAAAGGGTAACTATAAAAGCAGAAAACAAATAAATAATATCAACTTTTTGTCAAATCTAATGATAATAAAGCTGAGAATTAAGAAACTCAAAATATGTAATTCATTCTAATAATCAATCGACTTGGACTGCTTATTATTATTATTGTTATTATTATTATTATCAGATTAACTTACCATCATTCCATTGATAGTTATTTTATATTTAGGTGCAAAACTATGCACTAGCGTTGAGTCATGATAGAAAGCGAATTTGTAAGAAGTATTTCTTAGCTTGAGGCGTATTTTTAATATCTAAGTAATTGTATTTAAGTTATTAAAACTGAAGAAACATAGAACACCGACGATGAATCGAAATATTTTGTCTTGTTATAATGTGAGTAAATTATGATGGACTGATAAAGTCTAATAAATGTAGATAAATTTATGTACTAAACTATGAGTCATATCCACTGTGTATATTGATTAGTAAATTGTTGATAGGTGAGGATGTTGACCGCGTGATCAACCCACTAGCAAAAAATTAAGTGCATGAACTAACCAGAAATCTCTACAAACCATAATTCGAAAGATAAAAAAACATATTTTAATGTAATCAGTTTATTTGTGGAACAAAAGACAGTGCCAGTGTCAGTGATTTAAGGACTATGACAATGAAATGATACTTTGAATCACATTTAACAATAAATGATTGTATATTTGAACATGAATTTTGTTTTCTGCCTCTCGCGAGAGAGATGTGTCAGTAACTTCAGGTCAAAATAATTTCTCTCTCTCCCTCTTTGGGAGATTCGAACCCTGACTCCAGGCATTATTAATGTAAACTCTGACAGCTAATTACGATTGCTGTAAAGAAGCCTCTAAGAACTGAAAGAATACCACGGAAACGATTTAATTTTCAGTGGTGCTGTAATGTAAACTGGATTTTCAACTTATTAGAGCAGTTTATACAGATATGAAAGAGATTGAATATGATCAGTAAATGGAAAATGCTGATAATCAAAGATAAAAAGTTATGTTTACATTATCATTGGCAATAAGATGACAGAGATTAAATTCAGACGATATATCATTCCCATACTCATGGAGTCTCAGCAATACGTGGAACGTCGGCTCAATGGTCAGGGCCCCAGACTTTCAGTTACTAAGTCTCAAGTTTGAACCCCGCAATCGGGTGATATTCCGAGAATGCGGCTCACAGCGAAGTAAATAAATCTTCATGTGATGAACTACAGTAAATCGGTACTATATAGTAATGTAAATATCTTTCTAACACAGCGTTTTGGGTAACAATTTCAGACTGATCCGATAAACCAATAACACGAGTGATCTAAAAAATCTAGAAAACTTAGAAACAATCGAAACTCAGGTAAAATACCTTAAAGTAATTAGTCCCTTTGATAAATTTCGATAGTGTAATAAGAAGATGAAGAGTATTAGAACTATGTGATATATTGTCGCAATAAATTTCGAACAATCTTATCACACACATACTTGTTAAGATCATTTATCTATAAAAATAAAAGGTCAACTAGACTAGAAATGGAGGGTAAGGAGAGACAAGGACAATTAAGAAAATGTGAAAACAATCTGAAACCTCATCACTCTGGATAATAAGCTAATGAGATGTTTGTATGAAATGATGATTCCTTTGTACTTCATGACTGCCTGATTTAGAATTTCAAATACAATACGTTCGTTTGTGTTCATCTAGTTCTCGTCGGTCTAAATTGCATTCTTCTTGGGATTCTTATTTTGTACTATAATCCAAATACTTCAAATCATCACATCGGTATTGCGATGGAGCCTGTGATGGAGCGGTTGGACATAAATTCAAATTTTGATACTTCTGATGATTATGTGGGAAGGTTCGAAATCTGGACTATGACCGAGGAAGATATTGAGGATGTTAATAGTGTAGCTCATTTCCTTACACTTATCGGAGTAGAAGCATACAGCTTAATAAAGACATATCCAGACAAACCGATTTCACTCCGTTATGCAACTCTCAATGAACTACTACTGGACCACGTAAAGTGTACAAAATTTGAATGCGGTAAAGAAGAAAATTTTCGTAAAATGATTTGTCAGGGCATCAAGAATTACACCACTTTACTACGTCGTCCCATTCTAATGCGTAATCAAGGTTATTCAGATAACAATTCATTAAGAAGTTGCGGAGCAGGTCACGAAGATGAACACGAGTTTGGTAAATGCTCGTTCTATGGCAAGTTTCGGACGTGTAATTCATGTGTTGTTTGTAATTCTAAACTCTTTAAATGTGATATGATTGGATAAATTGCATCAATACTGATGTTTGTCGATTGCCGATTGACTCAAGTGTCGAGCTTCCAGAAATTCTTTGTTCTTAGTATTCCCTATATCCAAAATTTCTATACTTTTCCCGTCTAATTTGTCCCCGAATTTATTCACATGTATTGATATAAGCAAAGATATGTCATTGAGTTCGACAGCTAATTTATGCTCATACAGGTTAAGATGAAAATGGCGCCCACTTTGTCCGGTATAGCGTTTTCTCCTATTGGAACAGTTTGTTTTGTAGATAACGTTTGGCTTTTCTTCCTTTGTCATTCCGTTCTTTGGTTTGCATAGGATTTATTGGAGCGATTTTTCAGGTTTGTGTGCTACAATTATTTCGAACGGCTTCAATAATCTCGTAATTTTTTATCTTTATATATGGAAGGATGATCCGTTTACTGGTTTCTATACTTGGTTTCATTTTTGCTGATGAGCTGAGTTGATATTTCTTGATGAAGTTGAGTGGATGTTCCACATCATTCCGCACGCTGCAAATGTGCTGCGGTAGGTTCTCTCTCTCTCTTGAGTAAAGCTTGAATGTGATTTATGTTTTGAGTTGTTGAGCTGTTGCTATGGTGGTTGAGGATTCGATCTGTGTAGATTGGCTTCTGATATAATTGGATCTACAGTTCTACTGAGTCAGTTTTCATGATCAATACGTCCAAGAATGATAGTTTGTTTTTCGACTCCTCTTGCACTGTGAATTTTATGTCATCAAAGACTTAACTTATCGGATTGTAAGTGTTTCCCAGTTCAACCTTTCTGATGATGACGAATGTGTCATCCATATAACGTATCCACATTTTTAGATCGATCACTGGTGAAATCGAGGCTTCTAGTATCTGTATCACTGTTTCTGCAATGATTCTTGAAATTGGTGATCCTATTGGTGTTCTATTCGTTTGTTTGTAGATTTCATTGTTGAATTTAAAATATGTTAAGCTTCGTGTACTTTTGGACATTTGTGTTACTGGTGAGTAGTAGGGGTAGAGTTTCTATTCGACTGAGGTGAATAAGGCTGTTACGTAGAAGGATATCATCAGGTCGTCATTGCTCAATTGAACCTCCCTAATCTTATCCGAGAATTGTATAGGAGATTTAATGAAGTTGTCGGATAAATGCATTGACTTGTCCAATATCCTTGAAGTTCCTCCTGATAAATTGTATTTTAAGGTTTCAAAGAGCGATACAATTGGACATAGTGAGATGTTTGGTTTGTGTCGTTTCGACCCATAGTATAGTCGAGGAAGCACTGGTCTACTGGATTACATTCGTTACTGACCTTTTTTGATATTTGTCCTGGTCTCACAAACTTGTTTAAAGACCTAAAAATTTAGTTGTCCTACTAATTGAATAGTTATTTTGTGCAGGTTTAGAGCTACACAGTCGTAGATATCAGAGATCTTAAATAATATTTTCCAGAGAACATAAGACCTTTACACCACTGAGAAATAAACGTGATCAGAAGTTAATTGAAATATGGACAAGAGATAACGATTAAGCAGGTCAATTAAGCGCTAGTGATGATACAATCTGACCATCAGTTCTAATTTTAGCACCGCATATCATCCATATTTCTAAATTCAATCAACTTGTGGAACATTACGATCATCAATGTAAAGGTCAATTAACGTCCTAGACATAACTGGGAATAAGAGATGAATAGCATAAAAAGGGGATATTTCAATCATTTTCCAGTCGAATGAGCGCATCTACCTAGTGAAAAACGTCTACAAATAGGTCAGTGCATTATCAAAAAGGAACGACTTGACTAACTAAAAGACGCGATGTCTGATACTGTTTTGCACTTAATCAGGGTTACACTACAAACAGAAAAGTTTGACCGACAGAAAAAAAACGATTGTGAGTTTAAAAAAACTAAACCGGTAAACTTACTGGTAGTCGAAACTGAACCACGATTTGAACAAACGTTTTTGCGTACTCTAAATATTTTCCAGTGGGGTCTGATCTGAAAAATCAGTCGACAAAATAATTGTTGAGTGGTCGCGAGCTTACTTCAAAGGATCACAAAGTATTTGGAAATAGCCAAATTACATATGCATTATTTAATTGACGTCATAAAACAAAAACGTACTTTGAGCATTTTCCGACTAGTACTGTGCATACTCTTAAGAGAATTCTTTGATTTTTGTCCGGGTTTTTCTTTGTTTCATTGTAAAGACCCTGATGGTGGATTAAACGCAAAAAAACTTCGAGTTATTTAATAAGGGATAAGATAAGCAGTAAAAAATGGCATTTTGTATTAAGTAGAATTCATACTCATTACTTAGAACTACATACTGCATAACTTGAGTATCACAACAAATACCAACCCTTTATAAAAGACCATACTAGCTAAGGTGCGAATAAATGTCAGGTTCAATTCCTTAGACCGTAGAATGATGTTGAAACTGCGATCGGGATGAAGTACAAGTGAAAAGTGAAGGCACTTTGTATATTCTCCAGTTGTCTTTATAACGTATGCCCAACATGTTGCTTTTACTTCCACTCTAGCTTTGTGACACTGACTATGACTTACATCCCAACAAATACCAAAAAGTCACGATTTTTGAACAAACTTACAATCCAAGCCATGTTGTTTGTAGAATCAATCGAAAGAGCGGAAAAATATGATTCAATCGCTTCCTTCTCGTTCCCAATTTGAGAGCAACAGGCTCCATGAATAACGAGTGTCCCATAATCTTGTGAATTAACTAGCAGTTCCTGAAATATAGGTATAATTTTGGTTAACATTGGGTTACCCCAGTAAGTTTATAACACTCCTCAAACTTTTCGGCCTTATATAACTCCCTGGCCTGTTTTAAGAGTTGGCTCATATTTAGTAGTTTTTTAAATATGACTAAAGAAATGAATCAGAATCTGGAAATAAAAAACTACGATGAGACGACGCTGTAGCGCACCATTTATAAAAGTGGGAGTCCTTATAGAACAGTTGTAAAGTTCAACCTTTGATAGTTGTGTGTCTAGCTTGAAAATATTTATGTGCCGTGGATATGTGATAAGCAATGTGCTAAAGAGAATCCGGAGATGGAAAAACAAGAGGAAAGTTGACCTGACGACTCAATAAGCCCACAGAATGCATTTATATCCAACAAAGAAAATAATCGCTAACATCAGCACAAATATAAGATTAAGATAAACTGACAATCGGAACTAGAAGTTAATGACGAAGGGCCCCGGTTGCACTACACAGTGTTCAATGTATTTGTAAAAGACTAGTATTCGAGACTTTGTTTTGAGGATAAAACAGAGTAGACTTGTGATAGGCTTTTTCTCCCATTTCTCTGTTTGCAGATCGTCTCTTGACCAAGACATAGCCCTGGTTGTTAGTGGTAACTTGTGATCTCGCGGTAGATTAATCCTGCGCATTGCTAGATTTATAACAACTTAACATTTTTTGTATGTATATAAAGATACCTCTGGTATTCGAGGTTCGACAACACGTTTGCACGTAACTCCGTTATAATCAGAGAATGACAACCCACTCAAATCAGAGGCTAGAAATGGAGAGGTTCGAAGGTATGTTAAAAGTTTTCGATATGTCGAGAAGCTTTTAGTCTTAGCTGACTAACGATTGTAAGAGATGAGTAGCACGACGTGTCCACTCATGATCTGGTGAGGGTGTGTGATCAGGAGCCTTTAGCCAGGTGTGCCCACTGAAACTAACTACGTAAGCATTGAATGCCGGACCTACCGGACTATTTATTTTGGGGATTTATATACCACTATATATATATTATAAATGATTGAGAATTTTGTTGCCTGTCTTCAGTTACCTTCTAGCTTGTGAACCCGATTCAAGCCTCTCCGTGTACTAGTCGCACCGACTTTTAGCCTATTGTTGACACGAATCAAAACTTTATTGTCATATCTCTGTCAAGCCTCAAAGATATTCGTGATTAGGCAGCTTTCTTTGAGTCACACACAAGTAGCTCATGGGATGTAGATTCCTTAAAAGAAATACTACACTTCCATTTGTCCATCTAATGGCTAACAGCTGTGTGTGCGATTCAAAGGTAAATTTCAGTCTTCGCTTATCGGGTTAGTACGTTTTCCAAACTGTTTTAAGCCCTGCATCATGTTCTTCAATGAAGATTAGTAACAACTTAGGTTTAATAATTAAATATCGGTCGCAAATATCTTAGTAATGTCAAAACATTATAGCTCAAGTGCTCGTTCACTTCCTCATCTTACAAGGCATTATATTTCCTATAACTGTATACTGAACATCGAAAAAATGTGTGTTTGAAAACATAACTGCGCGCTCCAACCATTCTGCCTAGTGGTCTAAATAAAGACCTATCTACCACAAGTGTAACTGCTTGTAGCGTGGCGTCGAGTCGAAATTGACTATAAACACCGCTACAGAGAAACACGTGCCAAATAAATCCATAAAATTCCCCGGAAGATCGCTGGCGATCTTGTGGTATCGAAAGGATTTAGAACTATGGTCTACTATGATATTAGTACTGCTCTAATAATAGACCTAATCCTAAAATTGTAGATTTGTCATGATATAACCGCCTAATCTATAAGATCTTACGTGGAAGTCACACCATCGACTACACCACCTCACTGTATCGTATCAATTACCAATACATGATGTGGAACAAGGTTAGTCTAGAGAAGGAACAATATATTTAATATGAATAGAAGATATAAGGTAACATTCAGAGGGACCACGCCTGCATGGCCAAGCCATGCCACTCGATCAACTCCAGTCCATTCAATTCATTCTTCTGGCCTTCTCCATCGTTAGGTATTTCTTCGCGTTAAATATTGAATATCTATTTTCTGAGTAGTCTTGTGTTCAGCTTTGAGGATTGTGTGGTTGTGGTCCAATGTCACTACAAGGATACCGAGATCGTGCTAGGATACAAGCTTGGTTACAGAACGTAACCGCGCGAAGTCACAATCAGAGTGTGTATAATGGATGTTTTTTAGCACAGTTAAACAAAAGCATATTAAAACAGTCACTGGTACAATTGGTTACAATAATGATTGTTTTCGATAAACCAATCATGTTCTCGTGATAAAGGTGAGTCACTACATGCTTCTATCGACAGAACGAAGGATAACCACTAGTAAGAAATCGGTGAGCCCTATTTTTAACACAAAAAATTAATTTCTGTTTTGCCTATTTTTTTCTTAGCTATAATAGTAAGTCTTCTGATTAACATTAACTTCGTGTATATATTTATATCTATTGTTTTTAGTCGCAAATTGTTTGTGTTGCCATTATTTTACCTTATTCATATCATAATAATATTTTGGTCATATACCACATGTCAGTCTCCATCCAAACCGAAAACCTGGAGGATAAATGTAATTTATCAGTGGTAGAGATAGACACTGTTATACCTAAGCCCTACTTCCAGAATTTGATCGTAGTGACCCCAGGTTATGTTTCGCTCAACTGGAGTACTATTTTACGAGAAACCATATTACATCTGAGGAAATTCGCTACCGAGATTTATACTCTGTAGTGTCTCCTTCAGTCGCCAAGGATGTCTGCGAATTATTTTGAGTCCACTTTTCGTGCCTCTAGGTAACCCTTGTGTTATTGATAGAAGAAACCAGACAAGTAGTGAATAAGTCTTTATTTAGATCTTTGTGCAGTCACAGTGGAGCGTGGGATTATTTGTCCAGACAAATAAAGCCTCTGAACATTCAACATAAGGTAATAGGAAATATAAGGTCTATACAAAATAAAGAAGTGAATGAATACTTGAACTATACTGTCTTGACACATGCTTAGTTGTTTGAAGTGAACTCTTAACCAATAAACCTAACATCACAACTATGTACCATTTTAAAATGGTAGTTTACAAACCGTCTATCATAATCAGACGGCCAAAGAATTCAAAGGTTTGTAGTAGCATAACTATGCAATCCTCAGAGCTGAACGTGAGATAACTGGAAACATAGATATTCAACACTTAACACGAAAAGAATGCCAACAGTGATGAACGCAGGAGAAATCATTCGAAATTCATTGGCTTGTCTCATCCTTGCAGACGTGGTCATTCTGCATAACTTATGCCTACCCACATTAAATACATTATTCTGTATTTAGCCTAACTGTGTCCTTCAGGGGCGCTCATTCTTACGATACAACGAGGAACCAAAACGTCATCGGTTCATTCCCTTTTTTAATGTTACATTTTGATGTTTCCAAAGGATAGTTTAATTTTATATAAATGTAGTTGAGTTGTGTAATTGTTTTGTTCGCACTTTTGGCTGATTGTGGAATAAACTATTCCGTCATATGAACTGGTCTTCTTCCTCTTGTTAGCGGAGCTGGGACTCGTCGGGACAATTAACTTGTCTTATCGTTATGTCGTTATTCCTTTTTTCCGTTCACCCATTTTATTTGATCTCGTAATTTCTCGAAGCATAGCAGGTGTATTGACGACTTATTAATTACTAGTCTGGTTTACAATCACACAAACAACAAGTAGGAGCAGTGACTAAACAGTTAAATGAAAATAGAATAAACATGCATCAAAGTAAATGTGTTTTTGATGTTCAAACTCCAGAATTTTTCGGACACACAATGAGCCCAGAAGAGATTACACCACTAAAAAATGGACCCCATCAGATAATGCCTCGTACCTAGTTCTCCAACGCGACTTAGAAGTTTTCAAGCTCTGATCAACTTTTATTGTAGATTCAAACCCATTTATGTCCAACAGTCCAACATCTGATATATCCACTTAAACGAAAACCAAAAGAAATTAAGCTCACTCCTGACGTTATTAAGGCTATTGAACAGCTAAATGATAGACTAGCTAAAACATCTACGTTGAAATATTCAAAATCCCGTCAATGGTGACTGCTTCGGATAAAACAGTGGGCCGTATCCGTAACCAACTGGATGAAAAACGCCTAGAAACAGATTATGTTCGTCTCAAAAAGAATCGCACCGTCAGGGACGAGATATTCTGCCTTCTGAAGAAAAATTGTCGCAATCTAACTGACCGTTAAGCATTTGCGACAATGTTGAAAACCAAGGAATCCATAGTTTATACGGACCATATACCACTAACCAATTCATTAAAAACGTGACTCCATAAGTATTCTCCTTGAGAGGTTTAATACCTTAACTGTATATCATAGTTCGCCAGCCGTATCCGACATGTCAAAGGTCGGGACAGTCATGCGGCAGATGCATTATCTCCGCTAGAAATGAACATAATACAACAATCTGCAGTAAATTTTGGAGCTCTGAGAAGCAAACAGAAAGAGGATCAAGATTCGCAAAACCTACTCACAGCAAAGAACTCTAGTCTGAAATTGAGACATCTACCATCACATATAGAATGTAGTCTTAGTTATATTGGGAATAAGAACAGCTGTCAAAACTGATTCACAGTGTCCAACAGTAAAACTAGTCTTTTGTAGCGTGGCGTCGAGTTAAGGTTAACTATGAACACCGCTACCAAGAAACACGTGCCAAGCGAATCAGAAGGCGAGGGTTGGACGTAACCAAATAGATCCATAAAATCCCCGAGAAGCCAAATATCAGAAGACAGTTAATGGACCAAGTCGAGGTTTATTAGCTGGCGATCTCGTGGCATCGAAAGGATACCGAGATCGTGCCAAGATACAACCTTGGTTACAGGTAACCGAATTCGCGCGAAGTTACAATCGAAGTGTAAGTATAAGAATGGAAGCACAATATAGCTGTCATTAGCACAGTCAAACAAAAGCACGTTAAAACAAACACTGGTACAGTTGGTTATAATAATAATTGTTTTTATTAAACCAGTCGTGTTCTCGTGATAAATGTGAGTCACTACACTTTAACAAAACTCTAAGACTACTGGGTGAGTTTAGTAATCTATGCACTGACAATAAAGAAGTTGATATAGAAAGTTCCGTAGACCGACTATGGGACAAAATGTCTAAAC